TGTATATTTTATTTCCATAAACACACAATATATATATACAGTAAAAAGAAAAGGAAGACTTGGGGCACCTTAGAGACTAACAAATTTATTTGAGCATAAGCTTTCGTGAGCTACAGCTCACTTCATCGGATGCATTCTGTAGCTCATGAAAGCTTATGCTCAAATAAATTGGTTAGTCTCTAAAGTGCCACAAGTCCTCCTTTTCTTTTTGCGAATACAGACTAATACGGCTGCTACTCTGAAATATATACTGTGTATGCACTGCATGTTACTGGATAGCTTCCCTTCTGATCACCTTTAAAAAAATACGTGTGGTGTAAACATCCTGCACACCCAGGCTATAGAGTAATGAATGCAAATACTGCAAGTGGCCCAGAAGTGCCCCCCAGAGGAAGAGGCAGTGTTTCCCATCCAAACAGGTCCCCCAGTTCAAGCATTCAACAACCTTCAAAGGCAAGTCCTGTACCATGTGTTTTGAAAAGCAAATGCAAAACCTCTTATCAAAAGAAAACAAAATGCAAAGCAGAGTCAGACATGGGGGAAGGAAGTTGGAATTTCCTCCCAAAGAACCAGCCATTATATGAGTATCCTGCATGCGGCTAGAATTAAGCAGGACCTGCACCGAGCATTTCTTGTTTGACTGAGCAGGTGGGGCTAATCTTTAGTTGGAAACACAAAACTGTTGCACCTCCAACTCTAGGTCAGTATTGGCTCTGCTCCCGTTCTGAAAGGTGAATCCACATTTGAATCTTTGTTCTTACAGCCACTGGACCTGTCAAAGATCAATCTCATCATTTTACCAAAATTTGAAAAGGGATTGGACATTTGCATGGAAGTCGGAGAGGATTAAAACTACAACCCAGTGTTTGGAAAGGATAGAAGCCTTCAGGGCATAAACCAACCTTTAAGGATGGGGTTAAATTGTAACTATCCTTGAACTGGTTATTTCATGTGACTACTTCAGGGTTTTTAGTACATTCCCTCTAACACATCTGATTCTGGCCACTGTCAGAGAGCCGATACTGTACTAGATGGAAACGAGATCTAGTCTGGTCTGGCAATTCCTACAATATGATAGAGAAGTAACAGGCTGACCTTTACAGGGTCCATATTCCAAATGGGGTTTTAGCTTTATTGCTGTTATTTTTAGGAAGCAAGATCTGGATAATATTAACCTGGATGATTTGCAACCTCATTCAATTCAGTCACTGTCAGCAGGGGACTGGTAGGCGTTTGCTTCCTCAATATGCACTTATCTAAATCATTTTATTAAAACTAAATTATAGATCTATATATAGAAGGCAGACAAGCTACAAATGTCAAATAGTTTTAAAAGTAGCAGCAATTACCCTGAGAAAACAGGGATTTGAGAGGGATGCTGTGAATATCTGGTTGCCTTTAGTTTCTGTGGAGCTTTGACACACTTTATTCTCTGGTAACCAAAAGGCTAAATAATTTCTATCAACATATAATGGATTTTCACAGCTTGTTATTACCGTTAGCTACCCATTCACTGAGGGCATTTCCAAGAACTTGCAAGGATCATCTGTAAACATTTGCAAATCTTTGAACAAGCTGAAATGGTAAACAGTCATATACTAATGCTGTTGAATGGTTAAACAAGTGCAAGCGTTTGTCTGGAAGATTTTCTTGATTTCCCACTATTTCAGATGAAAAATAGATCTGCATTTACATCCTTTCCTGCAGTATGCATGCATGCATCCGATGAAGTGAGCTGCAGCTCAGGAAAGCTCATGCTCAAATAAATTGGTTAGTCTCTAAGGTGCCACAAGTCCTCCTGTTCTTTTCTTGCAGTATGTGTATCAAGCAGCAGTTTAAACAGCACAGTCATCTGCCTGGTGCACCAGGGATGTCCAGACGTTCCATTTAAAATGGACACTTCGATACCAGCCTTGTAGGGCTGGCCACTGAGTGACTTCTGGCCCCGCAACCAAACGCGAAGTATTCTAGTTAATTTTTGGTTTTTGATTGTAGTGCTCATTAGAGGTGCCACACTAGTAGTTTGCTACTAGAGAGTGAAATTCGGGAGCCATGGACCAGAAGCAGCTTCCCCACCCACCTCACCTCTGACCTTTAGGAAGGTAAGAGTACAGTCAATCAATTACTTCAACCCAATTATTTTTGTGCTCTAAACTGTGTTAATTCAGAACCCAGCTAGAGGCCCATCTATTGGTAAGATCACAGGACTGAACCCACAATAATCATCATTTCACAAATGACCACTCTACATTCCTCAAACTACCCCTTCCCCAAATGGTTGTGATATATATTGAGATTTACGGTTGGCCCAGAAGGTTAATAAATCCAGGGTCTCCAAATGTCTTCTTAAGATCCATCCACCCATCTCTCCTGCCCCCCCAAGATATCCACGCAGAAGAACGTGAAATGAAGATGTTCTAGTTTGGGGGTTTACATTTTTGGGATGGATGAGAAAACAGCAAGGTCACTCACCTGGTTATCTTCCCACAAACTTGAAACCCACTAATCAAAAATAAGACAAAGCAAAAGATAGCTGCATGAGTTTGCCGCAGTTAAAGCTCCCTTAAATAAACATAGGTGAAGTTATTTCTTTACTATATAAAGTAGTCCAAAATTATACTCTTCAGTGAAAACCCATGTACTATCCTATACTACAACTTCCCTCTAGTGGTGAAAGGAGCAAGGTGCAGTTCTTTTAAATGACAAAGGAACTTAAGTTTTTCCACACAACCAGAATCACAGAATGCACATTGCAGGGCTCTGAAATATTCCACTGCCTTAAAGAGAGTTTCATTATAATAGAATCCATTATGATTCTGCTCTATTCTTAAACTTCACATGCCACAGGTTGCACGGGCCTAACACAAGCAGTATTAAGGTGTGAAATTAGCACCAAAAATCAATGGCTGGAACTGAACCATCAGGAGTGGTTGTGACACTTGATTCATGTGATGATCTCAGATGACTTACAAAGATGCTACAGGAGTGCAAAGTATTAATCTAAGCTGCTTTTCACTGAATATTTTTGACTTCCATGAAGTCATGATGACTGATATTTTTTGCTAAAAAGGCAAAAGGGAGACTCATAATTAGAAAAAGTATTTAGGTTGCAACTGATGTCATGTGGATCTAATACAAAGAAAATATAAAGTCTGCTGCAGTTTCCACGGTAAACATCTGATGAAGTGAGCTGTAGCTCACGAAAGCTCATGCTCAAATAAATTGGTTAGTCTCTAAGGTGCCACAAGTACTCCTTTTCTTTTTGCGAATACATACTAACACGGCTGTTCCTCTGAAAGAAAATATCACCACTAAAAATATTTCATTATATTTAATGTGTGGCAACACCATGTCTGGGATGCCTGGTTTCCTCCACACCTATTCCTGTTTAATCACTACACCACTGTATTATAGTCTCTCCCTCCCTAACCAGTTGATAAGCTTTGTGGTATCATCCGTCACAAGACCCTGGGAGCTTTAAAGAGGCAGGAGTTTGTTGCCGGTCGTGTTTCAGCCCTAGTGCCTTTCCAACATTACTATTTGTTAAATATCTTTCCTCTTGGTTTTCCTGCGTAAGGATAAGCTTCCAGGTTGAAACCTCATTTAATTATTTCCCATCCATGTTTATAACGACTACATCCCTTTGCATTATTTGTCCCTGCTGATGTCTCCCACGCTAGTTTAGTATCAGCAGTACATCAGCAGAACTGATAAAAAGGTTTTAAAAAAAAAATCGGGAAAAAATAAAATGTGTGTGTATCTGGCTGAAGTCCTCAAAATCATCTGAGACCACTTTCCAAAAAACAAAGGGGAAAAAGTGACATCTAGGTACTCAGAAAAGCCAGAGACAGCAAAAATAAACTAATATGCTAATTGTAAGGTGCTGGTAAATTTAAATGTACAGTAAAATTCGTCCACATATTAGGACATATTGAAATCTGGGAGAATATATTCCAGCACAAGATTATCCTCAGATCCATCTAAATCCTCATCTTTCAACTTCCCCTTCTAATTATTCAGTCAAGTAGTAAGGAAAAGCTTTTGTATCATCATCATTGAAAAACAACCCCCCCCCCCCTTCTTCCAGTCTGAGCTTATTAGGAAAAAAACATAGAAGCAGTTAAAACCAATAGATGTGAATTCAAATCTGACCACACATGCATACCCACAATTCCACATTTTGACACACTAAGTCACATATCACACATGAACAACTAAGTTGTTTATAACTGAAGGTTCTTCAAATTTGTCAAAGGCACTTTCCTAATCGTGGATAAAATCCACAGCAAGTTTGAAATTTCAAAAATGGCAGTTTTGAGTTTTCAAAATGAGAAAAAAAGACCCTCTCAAATTTCTCAGAATATCACTCACCTTTCATTTCTGAATATATTGAAAATGGACAAAGGGAATTTTACCAAACTTTCCACCCAAAATCCACCTTTAGGCTAAGCAAAAGCAAATCAAACTTACCAAAAGGGTAAGTCCATGCCCCCCTCCCGCCCCCTTCCCCACAATTGCCGCCCAAATTCTAAGCATCTGAAAGTCATATGTATTTGTCACTGATTCATAGACTTTAAATCCAGAAAGGGCCATTGCTATTATCTTGACTTCTTGCATAGCACAGGCCACAGGAACTTTCCCCAAAATATTTCCTAGAGCTGATGATCTTTTAGAAAAACATCCAGTCTTGATTTAAAAATTGTCAGTGATGGAGAATCCATCGCAACACTCGGTACATTGGCCAGTGGTTAATTACCCTCCAATAAAATGCTTTATTTCCAGTCTGAATTTGCCAAGTTTCAACTTCCAGCCATTATATCATGTTATACAAGTTGACAACTGAAAACACAAGAGTGACAAAAAATTATCAAAGGATTGTTGCAAAAATATCAGAGTATTTAAAATCATATAGCAAAATGACTTCTATTTACTTCCACTTTAGATTCCACTTGGATTCAACGCCCACCTCTTCTAGACACAGTGAAAAACAAAAAGCCATGTACAATACACTCAGGACGTGCAAACTGGTTCATTTTTACTTAGTTTATTTTAGATTTTCCACTGAAGATTTAAAAATTGATACAATTCCTTAAATTAGCAAAACATGAATACCCCCAGTCAGAGAGTGAAAATATCAGTGTTTCTCTTTTCCAACTTGATGGAGTTTAAAATCAGTTTGTACGTTCACTTTGAAAGAACATGAATAGTTCTTTCACTCTCCCTGCTACACTTCTGAAAACACAAGTATGAAACTGTACAGACACAACAGGAGTGTGCAAGTGCCTCAGAAGAAACCGAATCCTCTTTGGAAGCGTGCTCAGTGCAACATTCAGCACTTATAGCCATATAGGAAACAGGCTTCTGATTGGCAGGGAAGGCATAAATGAGCACAAGATGAGTTTGGTCTGTACTACGAGTGATGCACAGTAAAAACTACTGGATTTTTAAAAAGGTTTTCACCACCTTACAGCTCTGAAATCCCTAGCAGCAACAGCTTCTGTAAGTCACCAAAGGAAAATGGTATTCCTGGAAAAGGGGATTCGGGCACTACTACTGCTGGGAAATTTTCCAGGACTGAGTAAATATTTGAGAGAAGGCAATTACTAAAAACCTCCTCCAGGCTGTCAAAGTTCAACTTAAAAGGACCATATCGGCACAAGAATCTGCTGATTCAAACACATAAAAAATGCAGATCCCCATTTCGTTACAATTCTAAGGACAATGTTTGCTTCTTTCCCCTCTTGCTGAAAGAGAAGTGGGAAGCGAGGTCTTTGGGGTTTGATGAGTTTTGCCAAGGAGAGGAATGATGCTGCGAGAAGCTGAGATCAAGGGTCCGTAAAGGAATGTGCACCCTGCTTCTTTTTCCAATCTCTTTTTCTGCTGGCTCTTTAACCAGTGCTGACGCAATGTACTTGCCCCTTGTCAGGGAGGTTATGGCAGAAAAAAAACCTGGGCTAAATGCTTCCTCTTGGTAGTAGCTTGGCATTCTGGGCACCTTTTAGCAATCTGGGAAGACAGATGAACAAAACACACAGATTACAAGCATTACACTTCCTTTCAAATGTCTGCATAGAGTAGATCTGCAAAGGAGGAAGTCTACAGAATAGCAGTCTCAATACAAACATCAGTCACGCCCACCATTTGCCAGTCCCCAACAATTATAATTATTACAAACATACTCAACATGTAACCATTTAACTGGTTGTGACACAAGAAAGAAAAGGAAAACTCCTCTAATGAAGTAGCAGTTCACGCTGAGCAAATAACCAATTTTTCTGTTCATGAGCTGAACCAAAACCAAACCAAAACAAAAACCCCTGAAAAAATTTAGTTCGGCTCAAACTGAAAACTGATTCTCCCCTCCCCCCCCCCCGGCACAGAAACAAAACATTTACCCTGACCTGAAATTTTTTTTTTTTTTCAGTTTGTTGTTTCAGGTCATTTGAGTGTTTTCCCCTTTTTAATTAGCTAAATTTCTAAATGAAACATCTTTAAAAAATGAGATGTCAAACTGTTTAACTTAAAATGATGAAAACAAAATGTTTTGACTTTTACAGTTGTACTCCCTTTTTTTTCAGGCAAAACTGTCCACTAAATTTGACCCAAATTTTCCAATAATTTTGAGAACTTTAAGAATGCACTCCTCAGCAAATTAGCCATCAAAAAAATTCTGCCCAATTCTCATAGCAACTCACCCCACAGGAATGGTTTCTGTAAAATCAATTCCAATTGTGCAATTACTAAAATAAAGGGGGGGGAAATGCAGAATATGCAACAGCTGTTGCAAAAGCATACAAATATTTGGTCCTTCGAAAAACCAAATGAGATAGTAGCTGAACTTCTTGAGTTCCCACTTCCTCTTGTACAATTCAAGCACAGGATAGGGGAAGTGACCTATTTGAGACACAAGGCAACCCATGATGTTTATGGCCATGGCCAAGTTGTGGTGGCAGGACAAGATGTAACTGTTAGCTGATTGTGGCTATGTGAAATAAGTGGATTTTTAACAGTGGGATAGCTAATGCATGTTAGTTACCTCACTGTAAAAAACACCTTTTTTTGGGTCCATGAAGATAAAGCCTGTGAGATGAAAACCTCTCTGTTGTGAAGGTTACAGCCTGTTGGTTTCACTGCTTCTAAAGTGAAACGGTTCTAGCCTTTATGAACTTGATCGCGTGGGATTCCTTATTATGTCCCTAGTTAACAGAGCTAGTTCTTTTTCCACACTGAGGGAAGGGTGACCTCCAAAACCTTCTTGCGGACTTTCATCTTTGAACAGAGAGTAACAGCCTAGAACCAAATTTTCCACTTCCTCCTAGGAACTCCGGGATGAAGGCTATTGGCCAAGAAAAAAATGCTTTAAATATTTTAAAAGTGAGGTTGTCTGAAGTAAATTTAGTCCTTGTGGAGGCTATATTGACAGCCTTGGAGATTGCTACATACTCAAAGGACAGATGCAGCATGAGCAGTAGCAGTTCAAGGTCTCCCAGTATAGAAGTTAGTCAGTCCTCGTAATAGAAGCTAGATTGCAGCAGAGTGGCTTAATGCTCTAGCCTTTTGATTCTGGAAACATGGGTTCAAAGGCTACAAATGGATAGAAGCTTGGCTGTCTCAATCTAATCCCCAGGAGACATCCATTTGTAAGCATGCTTTGATATCCTTAAATGGAAGACACTGTATACGTGCAAAGTATTATGATAGTCTGCCCATATTACAGGCCCACTGTGCAAGGTAGAACAATGGATAGTTTCTGCTCAGGAATGACATGCACAAATGCTGCAAATCAGGACTGAGGCACACAGAGGTACGTGGAAAGAACTGCGTCTACCTGTTTCATTGTATATCGGCACATTTAAGACCACCCATTTCACAAAACATTTAAAGACAAAGCCCTACAGTATACATCATGTGCATGATGCTCAGCTTGCCAAATGGGTCTTGAAAGAATTCACTGGAGAGATCTTTCCCAAGCTGCTCTTCTTGGTGCATGCCCTCTGGATTGAACATCCTCCTGTGCTGAAAGTTCCAATGATTGACCAGCATTCTTCCCACGCCTTTAAGTGGTCTTACCATAATAATGACTGGGAAAGGATTTAAGATTAGGGTAAAGAGAAGTCATTGTGTGCTGTATGATGGTTTGTTAGTCATTTCCTCATTAAATGTAGTAAGCTTGAACCAATTATTTAGAATGAGTAACTTGTAGTAAAGGAACAAAGTTTAGTCTACAAGTCACCAGTTTGAATCCAGACTAGGTCACTAGTGATCAAATGTTACTACCATCTGATGGCGGTTTGGGGGCCCAGAGGAAATAAGTGGTCAGTGGCTGTTCATTTCCTTCTGGTGAGACATCTGTCACAAAACAAATCACCCCTGGGAATGAAGTTGGATCAAGGTTTGAACAAGAATGAGACGCTGCTTCTCCTCCTCCAGGCTCTAGAAAAAGATGGGGAAATTTGTTTCCCCTCTCACACCTTTCATGTCCCACAATATTAACGCTTGGTTTCCCCCTCTTTACTAGGTGACTGGATGCAGAACAGATCTTTTATCCTGTCTCTTGGGTCAGAGAACCTGCCCCACACCAGGCCTTTCAAAGAATGACAGCTTCCAAAACTGCAAGATACTCAGCTTCTCATGAACCAAACTATACCAGACCCATGCCACAAAGTAAGCCAACACATGGTTGTTCCAGAGCTTTCAACTCTGGCAACAGGCCTGAAACCACTGCAGCTCAGAGCGTGCCTCCCAGCATAGGCCTACAGACTTGTGCTACCTTCACTCAAGCTCACCTGCTACAAATAGCAGTGTGGATGTTACGGCATGGGAGGTGGCTTTGGTGAGCAATTCAAGTCCAAGCCCATCCAACCCCCTGGATCTGCACTTAGGGGAGTAGCCAAAACTGCTGCCCAGACTGCAACATCCACACTGCTACTTTTAGCAAGCTAGTGCAAATCTGTCTACCCAGGCTGGAAGGCACACTCCCTGCTGCAGTGCATACATACCCTGGATCACTGGTCACAGGTTCCTGAAGGGAGGAAACGCAGGTGCTCGAAAACCAGTTGGTCCTATAGGATAAGTGGCTGGTATACGCAGGGTAGTGTAGACAGATCCTAGTCTGAGTGGAAGAATCACATTTCCTCCATGAAACAGGGCAAGAGACCCAAGACCTGTGCTGTGTGCATTCAAAGAAACAAGAAGGGGGAGGTCTTCAACGAAAAAGAGGTTTGCTCCTAATTTGGGTTAGTTAATCCACATTAACTGAATTGGGTTAAAATAGCTATGAAGACACAGCAACTCCACTTTTAACTTGAGTTAGCAGCATGAGTTAAAGCCTATAGGGGAGCCTATGGTTGAACTCAATCTGCTAATGTGAGTTAAAAAAAACGAGTTGTCATGTCTTCCCTGCTATTTTAACTTGACTAAACTAATGCAGATAAGTAACCAGAATTAAGAACACCCTTCCCCCCCCTCAGTGAATACATGTCCTCTGGTAACAGAAGTGCAGATAGCACTACATCCATGACAGGTTGGTTGTAACTACTCTCCATACAACAAGGGTGTGCCATTTCATCTCTACAGGCTGCTGAGAATTATGGCAGAAGGATGGAAGGTTCATTTGCTTGTGAGCCAAGAAAAAACTAAACTGATCTTTGGAATTAAGGTGTCGTTCAGTCCTAAGAACCATCACCTCATCCTGATGAAAAATACAGCATGGTGCAGTACTGTGGCTCCCCGCCCCCGCAAAAAAAAAAAAAAAACAAAAAAAACTCCCCAGCCTGACATAACAGCAATTAGGAAAGAGTTTACAAGTGAAAAATCACAGGGAGTCTTTCCTCAGAGGTTCAAAGGAAGGATTCATAAAGGTCTGTAGCAAACAGGAAACAAACTTTTGGATTTTTCAGCTCTTAGGAATCTAGTGATATGATGCTGTTTTGTAATCAGCCTGGGCCTTCAGCAGCAGAAACTAAGAAAACACATACCAGCAGGTTGCTGGCCTCAACAGCTTTCTCCGTCGAGAAGGGCCAGATGAGCAAGCTGTCCAGAAACAGGCAGAGAGGTATTCCTGTTTCTTGGACAGCTGACACTAGGACCTCAGTAAAGATCCATGACAAGGCCAACAAATTGAAAGGAAGGGACTTATACTCAAAGTGTCTCTTATACTGGCAGAAATGCAGACACTTGTAATGACACACCTCACTCCCGTCTCTGCTCTATCAATGACGGGAATTCTGGGGATGCAGAGCTTTTATGACAGACTTAAAAGCCTCCATTTACTTTTGGGTGAATAAACTGAGTGTTTCGAGATCCAAGATGGCTTGCATGGCCTTGTCCTATTTTGAACCAAAAAGAAACAATCAAATACACTCCATAAGATTGCTTGTTTGATGGAACTGGTTATATAACCCTAATCTGCAGCAGTTGCAAAATGGCCTTTTGGCCTTCTCGTAATTTCCTGGATTCTTTAATGTTGGGAATATCATGCATTTTGGGGAGAAATTCTATTGAACAGCTGTTCTGAATTGATTGTAGAACCCATTTGTCAGAAGATGTCTTTATTATTAATTTAATCTGGATTTTCCACACTTTGTCAATATATTCCAGGGTCGTCTTCCTGATAAAAAGTCCCTATGAAGCTAAGAAGACCGGTAGGTACAGAAGGACTGCCCGTTTCTGAATGCCTGCTCATAGTCCCTTCTGTACTGCTTCGTGGATGAGAGGGGAGGGATTTCTCTTTCTTTTCTGATGCCTTTGTGACCAACTTGTCTACAGGTTCTCTGATTAACACTCTCATCCTTACCCCTGAGTACATGGAAGCTGTCAAGCCTTTTCATCCTCTCATCTGCCTTTCAGGGGCAGAGCCACAGATCTTATTGGGCTACCGTGCTTGAGTCACTGAAGGCACTGCACAGCACAGGAAGTCTAGGAAAGTATCTGTTGTGGAGGATGCTACCAAAGAGATACTTTGCAGTAATGCTTTCATCTTCTTATCCAGGGGAAAGGCATCCATCTCTGCAAGCCAGGATAACTCTGAAGTAGCAGGATGATGCAGTGATGGCAGGAAGGTTGCCTCATGATTGTGCCTTACAGAAGACACTTCAGGAATGAAATAAAACCGGGCAAAGAAAATGTTTAAAATAAGAGTTAAGATGTATGAAAAATCTCTGTCACAAATTAAGTTCCATAGGTTGCTGCTTGCACCTCTCTGGAGGCAGAAAAAATTGGGGAAGGCTCAGATGGGGTTTTATGTCTCAACAAGGACAAAAGGTATGGTATGCCCTCAATCACTGCAGCATGGAGATCATGGAGTCAGAGTGGTAAGGCCCTGAGGGAAGCAGAGGACTTCCAAATCCAGGGCTGTCCATCTGATTCATTAAACCAAAACAAAATTTACTAAAAGTCTGAGAAAATAACGGAAACTAATAAGCAAAGCCAACCTTTAAGAACTGTTCCCAGCATGTTTTGCAGCAAGTAAAGGTACATAACTGGCATTTAAAAGGCACATCATCCTCAGATTTGCATTTAGAGCACTGGAATCTTCCTAAAATTAGCAGTTGAGAGAGAAGGTGCCGGGGTGGGGAAGGAGGGGGGGAGAGAAAGAGAGAAAAGACACTAAATTCCAGTAACTCTGTTTCGGAAGTTCTTACATATTCATGTTTCCAGTGCATTTTGTAGAAAGCAATGGTTGAAGGTGTGTGCAATGTGTTTTATGAGGCCCCTGTATCTTAGAGGTGCAACTCCTGGCCCTATTACACAGTTTCTTCTGTGTGACCTCACTCAATTTTGCTGTGCCTCAATTCCCCATCTATTAAGCTGGGTAATACTACTGACCTCACAGGGTAGGTGTGAGGATAACTGCATTAGTCCTCAGGGGGCACTCATCCTAGGCCACATAAGTACTTAGACAGAATGGACATAGTTGAACAAGAAAACCCAAATTCGATTTTATTCTATATAGGGTTTTATACCACACTCATCACTGCTGTATCTGAATGCTTAAATACACATGAATAACTGTAGTAATAAAAGATGGCTTCATACTGTTCTAAAAAGGGTAAACATAATTGGATTTCCTACACATTTTTGACCATTCTTTTCTAGAGTTAGAGGGCAAGATCTCCGCCCAGTACATCTACACCTACCACACTCTGGCTCCGTATTGAAGGGCAAGACATGCAAACTGCGTGGGTTGGTAGGTGCTCTTATGATGCTGGATCCTGTCAATGTGTCTGTCTTTTGAGAGCCAGTTTTCCTGTTCTGATTACTGCAGAAGGATAAAATCTTGCTCTGGGTTTTTCTTGGCATTTCACTCTTGAAAGTAGCTGCACATGAATACATATCAAACAGTATGTAACGTGGGGTAATCCAGAATACTAGACATACCTCAGCTCTTTGTGAAATTTGACCAGCTGGCATTTCCAGGAGGGTTTCATTTAGAAGTCTGCCAGACAAATTTGATTAACTTTTTTTTCTAAATCACATTATTCCATACCACAAGTTTCTGATACTGTATTAACATACATAAAATTATCACTGAAAAAAATGGAGACCCTTCCAATGGAACAACTCTAATATGGTAGACTCCACCTAAAGACAGTGGACTTTGCTCACATGGAAGGCTTTTGCCTTAATTTTCCCATGAGTCTAGAAGAACTGTTTTGCAGGTGATTGTCTCATTATTTCCTTGTGTTCATCCACTTGTCTTTCTGTACCCACCTGTTCTCTCTTGTCTGATACTTAGATTGCAAGCTCTTTGGGACTGGGGCTGTTATTGTGTTTTGCGTTTGTACAGAACCTAGCATAATGGGATCCAGATCCATGTCTGGAGTGCTCCTACGTGCTACCACAAAAATAAATAATACGATCTAAATGCCAGAAAAGTGTTCATTCCAAACCTGGTGTGTGGCTGACAGCTTTATCTTGAGTTTCACTGTTTTCTGCTTTGGAACATGAATTCTCCAGATTCAGAGGACTCTTGGGCTCCTGCACTTCCAGTTGCAATTTCTTCTTCTCCTCACTGCAGCTCATTCCAGTCAGGTCTTTACACATCTGTCTGAATTGTTCTTTGTGATGAGGACGTACAAACATGTAGAACCCTGCTCAAAATGTTTTAAAAAGTCACACACACATGAAATGAATGGGTTTAGCATAGATTGTGCATTCCTTTTTGGAAAAGGGGAAAGCTCTGTGGAGACTGAGCCAGAATAGCCAGTGATTCCCACCATCTCCCCAGCACATCTGAAGGTTTGGGGAATGTCTGATCATTTCTTGAAGGGCGATGCTTAATTTTTTTTCTCACTAGAGGATGAGTATTTGCATTGACAGTGGCATCAGCTTGTCTGAAAATTCTGCTTCCACCCCTGAAAGAGACATTAATTCTGTTCTGGTGCGCCAATGAGCACTGCAGGGTGTTATAGCAAAGTCAAACAAGGTCAGTGCCCAAAAAGGTTGTCTCAAGAAGGAATCCTCTTGGTATGTTTTTTACATTGGGAAAAAAATTAGACCATGAGTACAGAAATTTTAAAAAGTCCCCACTTTGGGTTATTGCCAGGCTTAGACAATTCCTTTGTGGTGCTTCAATTTGAAACTGACTTGCTCACTAAAACACTGATACACCATAGTCAAGAATAGAGACACAAAGTGGTTGAGGTAATATCTTGTATTAGACCAACTTCTGTTGGTGAGAGAGAGAAGCTTTCAAGCTCTCTCACCAACAGAAGTTGGTCCAATAAATATATACTACTCTCACCCACCTTGTCTCTCTAGTATCCTGGGACTGACACAGCTACAACACTGCATATTCAATAATGTGACATTCAACAGGAAATTCTGACTCATCACATCATGTGGTTCATTTCCATCTTCTTCAGCTGCGACAAACCCACGTCTACAGTTAACAGAGTAGGGTAACCTATTTCCCAACATGTAGAGATCGTCACCCACATTGTGGGATTTGGATGGGATTCTGCGGGACCCAACAGAGCCACATTTAAGCATTTTCTACTCCTGCTAGCTGCTCTCCATCCTTCAGCTGCCTTGCACATGTAGCATCCACTCCTCCCTGAAGAGAATTGCCCATCAAAGGCACTAGGATGTCCACAAGTCAGTAAGAGGGCAGTAATGAAACATTACAGTAGTGGAATTAGAGATCCCTCTTCAAGGTGGTTAGGCCCAACATGTGTGTGTTTTCCTTTTTCTTTATCTGTCTGAAAATCTGTATTATTTAAACTAAATCAAAACCTAATCTCAACTTTTCAGTGCCAGCAGCCTAGGACATAATGAGAAACTCTACAACAACAAACCGGCACATGTGATGGGCAGGAAGCAAAAAATTTGTTGTAAGGAAATAAATGTGAGTTTCAAGATTCTAAAGGTCTATTATAAATAATGGTAAATAAAGAGTGTTAATCATGACAAAATTCCTTAACTGTGTCCATGTAAAGACGTGAGGGGAAAAAAGTGAGTGTGTCTATCCCTAAAAGCTGAATCACCAGAATCACTTGTTCTAAAGAGCAGCCCTTGCAGATAAAAGGAAAATAATGCAATGAAATCATACAAGTGAAAGAAGCACATCTGGAGGAAGTGTGTATAGTTGTGGAAGTATTAACTCAGTTTTAGGTTTCTTCAGGAACTGAGTGTAATCAGAACAAATGGAAGCAGTGCCCAATTTTATAACTTCAAAATTATCTGGATTTGGCTAACACTTTTATTCAGGAAGTCCCATTTGCCCAGAGTGCTGAACACAGAGAGAAGAGATGCAATGTGTTCCATCAGTGCTAATAAGTTCAAAAGAAGGATAGAGTTTGCACACCAATTTATGCCAATCAGTGAGAGTTTAGTGTACATCTGGGGTGTATGAGGGACAGGACCACAGCACCTACATCTCTTTCTAAAAACAAAAAAATTCAATAAAAATACTTGCGTTGCAGGAGGTGAAAGTACTCTGGCTTCTCAGTGGTGAGGGCAGCTATCACCAACACCATAGCATCATAGTCATCGGTCTTCTTATATGCTGATAGCGCTGCACAGAAGCGGCTGTAACTGTTTTTGTCCAAAGCATTTTTCAGATCATTGAGATATGTAGCCCTGACTAGCTCATGATGGTCCTGTCTGAGAGAGTGTGATGCCTCTTCAGGGTCCTCCTTAGGGATATGGGTGTGATTGTCTCCTGAGAGAGAACATACATTATCAACGCTTTGGGAAGCACAAACTAGCATTTTTAAGGGAGACATATAGTTTGGATTCTTGTACCCTGCCTGCATATTCTAGGAATCTGTTAAATCAATGGAAAATTAGCAAAAGCTACAACAGCCACAATGTGTGAGATCAGTACTAAAACAATGCCTTGTGTTTTCCCTTAGGCAGAAAGTAGCAATCTTCCAAATAGCTGTGCTAATAAACAGTGCTGGCATGCCAAGGAAGCAAGAAAAAAAGCTTAATTCATTTAACAAGCATAGGATTTATCCTCACCCAGGAAACAAAGTGAGAAAAAAATAACATTTGCCAAATAGGAAATCATCATCAAAAGGAAATAATTATTTCAAAATTTTAAAAAACACAGCACCATATGCAATAGAGAGTACAAACCTGATCAAGGTCAAAGCAGCTAACACCATTCTTTTAACCACATAATGAAGTGTATTTTGTTGCAGTCCAAAGGAGTGCTCTTTGATTGACAGGCCATTGTGCTGTCTACAGAAATAAAGCTGTGGTTTTTATTTCAGCACAATGCCAATTGACAGTTTCAAGTTCTTAAGTGGCCACAGGTTGACAAATAACTTTTAAAAACTTTTTTTTTTTTAAACTGCAGAACAAAAATTGAAATGATCTTTGAAAAGGAAGGGACCCAACTCAGTTTCCTGAAGCGGGAGGGCATGGAAAGAAGTGAATGTGGCTACAGAGCATGGTGGGAATTTTGTAATCAGTATCTTTTTACATCACTGCATATCCTGGAATCATCTGACACCCTCCCTCATAAGGAAACATTCTATTTAGGGGGTAACCTAGATAATAGAGAAATGTAGTAACTCTTTTTTTAATACTGGGGACACGTGTATGAAAACTGGAGTTGTTTATTAATGGTTCTTCTATTCCAACTGCTTGTTTCCCCCAAAGCCTCGGAGCCATCAAACATTCCTATAATGTCACAGAGATCTATGAACTCAAGTGAGACTTAATCAGCAGGAGATAACCATATCATGAAAACAATGATCCTGTTCTCATACAAATGTCCCTAAAAATACAGGAGAGAAGGAAATAGGAACCAAGAAAACTAGAATTGCTTCATAAATTAAATTCTTTTAAAGCTTTCCAAGAAATGTCAGCTGCTCTTTGCAGGACGATGATTACAAAGTCTTGAACTATTCTTTACTCTTTAAAATGCTGTACAATGTTAACATTTAACAGGTATAGTCACCGATTACTGCTAAGGACCACGTTCAGAGGGCAGTTAAAAAGGAGTTTAGCTTGTATGAGCTAAGCTTACAAGTAGCGATAGGAAGAGTTACCCTATTCATTTCTCCAAGACATTCCCAGCTGATTTCAGGAATAGCATTTTAATCAGATCTACACTGAGCCACTGACGTTCAGAGATAAATGTTGCAGAAAATAAGGCCAGAGGGATAGGTGCAAAAAACACGATGCAACTACATTAATACATTTACTAATCTGCATTTCTGAAAAATATAAGCCTAACTTTTTGCTCTAGGCACATGCTGTGACGCTGAGGCCCATTTGTGGTTAGTACTCCGCGTCAGCAGGTCTGGTCAGGCCTGATGTACTCATCACACCTAGCACACTGTTGTTATAATCTGTATCTAAAAGGCAGCATGTTAGATATCATTGGAAAACTAACAACTCACTGATCATTAAAATTCTTGTCTGATGATGCACAGGGTATGTATGAAAAGTTATGAATAGGTGCTAGAATTATATTCTTAAAAGGTGTTTGGCAAGCAATGCATAAGCACAGTCTGCTTCAGACAAAGAAAGGTGGATTTATCTCAACATATGTATAAGCAATAAACTGAGCCATTCAACTAACAAGGGGAGGAGACTGCTAAAATGCAAGTTGTTCTTTTCCTGCACACCAGTGGGGGAGAAAGAGCATGGAGCTTCTTTCACCACCAGACTCCAATTTACCTTCCTCACAGCCTGAATAAACTTTACTTTGAGGTATAGCCTTCAAAATAATCTATTTTAAAGGTTTACTGGTCTATAAAGATAGGGGTGGGGAACTGAACCAACTGATTGTATACAATATTATTATATTATAAAAGTTTATAGAGTGAGGTCTTCTAAAAACTAATGACGCTGATGATTAATGCCATCATGAAACATCTGTATTAACACTATAGGAGGAAATATTGATATTTAAATGATATTATGCTTTAAAGCCTGTGACAAAACAGGGAGAAACAGGTTCCCTTCCAGACAGGAAAAAAGGTATCTAAATTAAGCATGGTGCAATCAAAACAATGGAAGCCCTATTTCCATGCAGGGGAATGGGAAGCCCACAAGAAGGGAAGAACAGCATGAGGTTATCCTGTCTCTTGAAACAAGGTAACTGAACTTTGGAAGATAGAAGAGAAGGTTACTCCGTGTAGTAACGGAGGTTCTTCTTACTGTGGGTGCTCTATTTTAGGTGAATCTACGTGCCTGCACTTGTAATCAGAGGTTTTCAGTAGCAGCACCAGATTGAGGTCCCATAACGGAATGGGGGCTCATATTACAGGGTAAAGGTTGTGAAGAGCCTTGAGAAAGTGTTTAGTGGTTGGGTGGGAGAAGATGGAGAACCTGTCCTCTTTATGGTGGAATGGCGTGATTGCCTCTCACAGAAAGGCCCGATCTGTTAAGTTCCAGTATATAGTCCAGTACCACTGGTAAAGTGGAGAAAGTTGCCATAATTTGTCTAGTTCGGTACCATGTATTGAATCCCTTCCATTTGTGTGGGTAAGCATGTTGAATAATAGGTGGTCTGCTGTTTAAGAGAATGTCCCTTACCTCCTCTGAACAGGTCATTTCACTGTCTCGGAGCCATGGAACAGCCCTGCCTTCAGGTGGAGCCTTGCCGGTATGAGTGTTGAATGTTGTTTGTTTATTTGAAGACTTAGAGCCACTGTCTTTAGTGCCTCTTCTCAAGTCGATGCTTTGAGTAAGCAATCATCCAAATAGTGGAATATTATGGACCCCTTGTTGGCAGAGGTGGGCAATCACTACCATAAGAACTTTTGAAAATAACCATGGAGCAGTGGATAATCTGACAGGAAGTACTTTGTACTGGTAATTATCTTTTCCCAGAACAAATCTGAGACACCTCCTGTGTGAAGGATGTATCATTAGGTGGAAATATATGTCCTGGAGGTCAAGGGCCGAGAACCAGCCCCCTTGTTCTAGTGCCGGAATTATCGTTGCTAGCGTGACCATCCTGAATTGTAGGGTCGTCACAAACTTGTTGAATCTTAAATCGAGAATGGGCCTCTATCCTCCAGTTGTTTTCTGGGTTAGAAAATAATGGGAGTAGAAACCCTTCCCTCTGTGTTGTGTTGGTACGGGTTCTACTGCGCCCAGGTGTATGAGATGGCTTAATTCCTGTTGTAGCAGATGTTTGTAAGAAGGGTCCCTGAAGAGGGATGGGGAGGGAGGGTGGATGAGGGGGATGGAGGTAAATTGGACGGAATAACCAGTCTCAATGATTTCTAGTACCCATTTGGTTGACGTGATGATCTGCCAAGCTGGGTGGAATGGGATCAGTCAGTCTCCAAATGGATGAGTAGTTGTGGATGGTTCCAACACTTGAAAATGTGGGAGGTATCTTGGGTCCTCGACCAAACCCTCAACCCCTGTTGTTTGGAGAGAGGTTGTTGAGACATAGAGGGCTCAGAAGGGAGTGGTCTCCGCCTCTGTGGGCCATACTGACTCTGAAGTTGGGAGTAGGGCGCGGATCTTGTTCTTTGCGCTGGGTAATACTTCTCTTGTTTTTAGTTTTGGGAAGGTATATAAATGCCCAAGGATCTGAGGGTTCCCCAGGAGTGAAGTGACTCATCTGTCTTGGATGCAAACAGCTTCGGGACCTCGAATGGAAAATCCTCGATGGCATATAGTACCACTTTGGGGAACCCAGTGAGGTGGTGCCAGGAAGCTTGTTGCATTATCATGGATGTGGCAATGGAACGTGCTGCCGTGTCTGCCGAGTCCAGTGAGGCCTCTAAGGCAGTTCGAGCAAGAAGGTGGCCTTCTGAGATGGTTACTTCGAATTGCTCTTTTTTGTCCTTGGGTAGAAAAATAAATTCAGATATTTTTGAATAATTAGTGTAAATATATTTGGCCATCAATGCTTCAGAATTGGTAATCCCAAATTGTAGGGTTGCTGACGAGTAGGCCTTATGTCCAAAAAGTCTAAGCTCTTCCAGTCCACCATACGGGGTGGTTCTGGAGTGATGTTGTCTGCCCCTTTGTTTCACAGCCTCTGCCACCAAAAGTGGCATCTCTGCAAGCGGCATGGAAACTTTTTAAAGACACCATAACAGAGGCTCAACTTAAACGTATACCCCAAATTTAAAAACATAGTAAGAGAAACAAAAAAGAGTCACCGTGGCTAAACAAAAAAGAAGAATTCCTTGAGGGGGTCAACAAGCATGTGGACAGGGGGGATCCAGTGGATATAGTGTACTTAGATTTTCAGAAAGCCTTTGACAAGGTCCCTCACCAAAGGCTCTTAAGCAAAGTAAGCTGTCATGGGATAAGAGGGAAGGTCCTCTCATGGATTGGTAACTGGCTAAAAGATAGGAAACAAAGGGAAAGAATAAATGGTCAGTTTTCAGAATGTAGAGAGGTAAATAGTGGTGTCCCCCATGGGTCTGTACTGGGACCAGTCCTATTCAACATATTCATAAATGATCTGGAAAAAGGAGTAAACAGTGAGGTGGCAAAATTTGCAGATGATACAAAACTACTCAAGATAGCTAAGTCACAGGCAGTCTGCAAAGAGCTACAAAAGGGTCTCTCAAAACTGGGTGACCAGGCAACAAAACAGCAGATGAAATTCAATGTTGATAAACGCAAAGTAATGCTCACTGGAAAACATAATCCCAACGATATCTATATATATAAAATGATGGAGTCTAAATTAGCTGTTACCACTCAAGAAAGAGATCTTGGAGTCATTGTGGATAGTTCTCTGAAAACATCCGCTCAATGTGCAGTGGCAGTCAAAAAAGGGAACAGAATGTTGGGAATCATTAAGAAAGGGATAGATAATAAGACAAAAAATATCATATTGCTTCCATATAAATCCACGATATGCCCACATCTTGAATACTGTGCGCCGATGTTGTTGCCCCCTCTCAAAAAAGATATATTGGAATTAGAATAGGTTCAGAAAAGGCCAGCAAAAATTATTAGGGGTATTAATGGCTTCCGTTTGAGGAGAGAGAAATAAGACTGGTACTTTTCGACTTGAAAAAGAGATGACTAAGGGGGGATATGATAGAGGTCTATAAAATCATGACTGATATGGAGAAAGTAAATAAAGAAGTGTTATTTACTCCTTCTCATAACACAAGAACTATGAAATTAATAGGGAGCAGGTTTAAAAACAAACAGAAGGAAGTATTTTTTCACACAACGCACAGTCAACCTGTGGAAGTCTTTGCCAGGGGATGTTGTGAAGACCAAGACTATAACAGGGTTCAAAAAAGAACAAGATAAATTCTTGGAGGACAGGTCCATCAGTCGCTATTAGTCAGGCTGGGCAGGGATGGTGTCCTAGCCTCTGTTTGCCAGAAGCTGGGAATGGGAGACGGGGATAGGTCACTTGATGATTACCTGTTCTGTTCATTCCCTCTGGGGCACCCGGCATTGACAACTGTCGGAAGACAGGATACTGGGCTAGATGGACCTTTGGTCTGACCCAGTATGGACGTTCTTATGTTCTTAAGGCTGCACTGGTAGAAATGGCATGGGTAGTGGCATCCATGGGTGCCTGTACCAGCCTTGTTCCTTAAAGACTGGTACGGGTCCTGGATGATATTTATCGTGTTCTGGTAGACCTGGTCTAGTAGCTGCATGGATAGGCAAGGAATGATGGGAGGAGTAGATTTCACCTTCATCCTCATCACTAGATAAAGGAGGAGCTGATCTGGGTGGTGTAGTAAGATGGCTCGGTACCGAGGAGTGGAGATTCTGGTTGCGAGGAGACCAGAAGATCTTTGTGGTGGAGAAACAGTTGCAGTACTAACAGCACTGATACCAGAGAAAGTGTTGTTGGTGGTACCGATGCCTTTCGTGCGCTACGTACTGCAGAGCAGAAGGTGGTACCATCGTCTGTAGTGTTGTCAAGATGCTTGGTGTTGCATGTTTGAGCAGCTCTGATGGTACTGAGGTCGGGAGTGTAGGTCTCCTCTTACTGCCTTTTTCTGAGCCAGCCTGCCTAGGTTCTTTTATTTGTGAGATACCCATGGAACCGGATGGTTCCACGACCTCAGAGGTGAAGGTCTCTGTGTGGTCGGTATCGATGGGAACTATCAAGTCAGGGAACACCGCTTTTTGGCAGATTCTCGAGGAGGGGAAGTCAAAACTCGCTTCTTTGCCGCCTTCTTGGCAGAATGCTCCTTCCCCGGAGAGTGTGGAGAAGACCCTCTGTCAGATGCGATCGTAGGAAACCATTGCCCTGGAGGGGTCTGTGATCCCAGATTGGATGTGTAGCGTAAAACTTCTCCATCACAAGAAGTTTTAGCTGTAAGTCTCTCACCTTCCTGGCACAGGGTTTCAAGTTGTGGCAGTGGGTGCACTTTTGAAGTGTGTCTCGCCAAGGCAGCAGACACACTGTGAGTGCCCATCAGAGACGGGGAGTGAGGAACCGCAAGTGAGGCAATGTTTAAAACCCGGGAAGCTGGGCATGCCCCTCAAAGTATGGTTTCTCCCATGATGGAGGGTACCCATGCTACACCAAGGGGTGTCCTAACAACTGAAACTTAAATTCCTACGATAAGAAAAAAGGTGGGTTTTTTAAAAGAAAATAAACAGGGAAGGGTAAGTAACAATGAACTAACTACTAATATTAACTAACTACTAATAACTAACCAACTAATATTGTAAAGTTAAAATCAGAGAAAGCTAAAGCACAGAAGTGCTGCTAAGTACGCCATCAAACCGAGGGCAGTAGAGAAGGAACTGAGCGGAGTTGGTCACACAGCACTATGTAACTGACTTAGGCAGCGCAAGATGGGGACAGTGCTTGTGAGACCCAACCAGGCACTGCTGCTAAAAATCTCCGATTACAAGTGCAGAGGTGCAGATTCACCTTAAGTGGAGCACCCACAGGGACACTCCTTGAAGCAGCCGCCATCTTTGGCACCCATCACTAGACAGACAAGGTAACAAAGCTCTTGCAAGCTGAGAAAGATGAGTCCTTCAACCAAGGGGCGGGAGGGGTTCTGAAGTCTCTGAAAACTGAATATAGGTGAGAAATCTGCTTAGGCAATGATCCTTCACCTAGGAAGACAAGGGAAGCCAGAACCTTGTACTTCTGTGAAAGGTCCTGTCTGAGGGAAAGTCAGCCATGGCTGGGAAGAAGGAAGATCGTTGAGAGAAACCATCTTGAACAAAGTCTGTACCTCGTTAGATTAAGTTTTAGACTTTTAGAGGTGTGTTTTCACTTTTACTTGCTTGTAACCATCTCTACTTTTATTCCTTTTAATTGGCACCACTTACTATCTCCATAAATGTGTTTTATTTTTACTATAAACCAACTCAGTGCTGTGTTTGAAGGAAAGGGTGTATTTACCCCAGTTAAGTTAATAAGTTGTGATCTGCTTTTGTCTCTTTAAGAAACAAAATAACCTTATTATTTCTCTGAACTGTCCAGCAGAGGGCTGGACATTGTAGAGCACACAGTTTTGGGAAAATCAGGGACTGGGAGCACACAGACACTCAGCGTGTGAGCTGCATGCTTGTTGCTGACTGTGAGCGTCTCAGGCTGGGAGCTACTGTACCAAGGCACTGTGAGGCCCTCAGGGTTACAGAGTAAAGGGTGACAAACTCTCACTGGTCTGGAGTGCACCCTGAACCCCATGGACACACATATTTACAAATAAAATACCACTACCAAAATATGAATACCCCTCAGCCTTTCCTTCCTAACCTTCATCACCTGGATCCATCAGCCCTCACAGAGAGAGTGCTGATCACAACACATCATTCGTGTTGTTCTAGCCAGACCTTCAGCCACCCGCTGGCCAGGCTGTCAGTGGCACCTTCCTAACCAGCTTCATTTAACCCACCCCTCCTAAATTGCTCTCTTCTTGAAAGCCTGGAAAAACAGATGGGCTGCTGAGTGGCTGGAAGGTTAACGGTTCCTGTGATCAGATCACGTTTCCCACCCTGGAGGAAATCAGGTGCAAAGACACACTCTTAACTCAAACTTCTGACTTTAGGTGGTTATACCGGCACATACACTTAATTGAAATCACGTGCTTGGTGTTTCATTTTATACAACACTAGCATATTTTAGAGGCCTCAAAATCCATTTCCACTCGACACAACTTATTGTTTGCTTGTATTGCCAAAGTACTTAAGATCCCCAATCATGCACGAGGCCCCCTTGCGCTAGGTGCTGTACAAACCGAACAAAAAGATGGCCTCTCCCCCAGACAGCTTACATTCGAACTGTAAGACAAGAAATCACAGATGGATATTGACAGACAACAGGGGAGCGCAAGAAAATAATCAAACAGGGAATCTGCATTGCTATTTCTTTATGGAAAGCGTACCTGTTCTATTCAGCCCAGAGGTCAGGTGGGATCCTCCCTTGTTCAGGTGTAGCTGGGAGTTTAGCTGACTGGATGAACCCTCTGAGAATGCTGTTTTCTGCAGACACTGCTTTTCCCCTATTAAATTAAACTAGTCAGTGAACAGTGAACTTCTGAGGGCTGGGGAGCTTGGAAGATACGTGGAAAGCTGTTCATAGAACGATCAGAAACCTGGAATTTCCTAGTACCTCTCTCCTCAACTACTGCACCTGGAAACCACCAGGTGCATTTTTTTGGTGAAGAGAGGACCAGGAGGATGAATATCAACCCTCCCACCCCCATGATCCCCTCCTTCTGCAGTCACAAAGCTTTCCTGGGTTTCAGGATGGCGTAGTCAAACCCTGTGTATTTTATCTAACTGTAATGAAAAACATCACACACACAGCAGGCATTGCCTTATTTGCAGTGTCTCACACTAAGAAGAACAAAGCCCCTCCAGATTGGCAGGATTTGTGTTTCAGCCTCCAGGTTAATTAACTTTCTGTTTAAAAAAAAAGTTAACAACACACACACGCTCTAACTTCCACCTTCTATATCTCATGGAGGGATACAGCTTACACAGTCCTGGAAATCAGTTCATGCAGATTTATTACCAGTGCTTTTGAGCTGATGGAAAACATCTATTAAAGCACTCAGCTATATGTGCCTCACCTGCCTTCTTGGCCAACACCTCTCTCTCCTCCCGCAGGAGGCTGTGCTCAGGTTTGTAGCCACAGCCCACTCCAGTCAGACTACAGCATGCTTCATCAAACTGCTTTTTATGCTGAGGTCGAACAAACTGGTAAAATTCTTTCATTAAAGAAAGAGGAAAGAAGTTAACACATGCAGTTTATACATCCCAACACACACAAAATTCCACAGACACCTGATGCTGGCAGGACTTGCAGTTCAGACACCAGGTAAAATTTTCAATCTGATTTAGGAGCCTAAAAGAAAAGGTGGGTGAGGTTAACATTTTTTATTGGACCAACTTCTGTTGGCGAGAGAGACAAGCTTTGGAGCCATACGAAGCACCTAATTTCCATTCTCAAAAGTGACTGAGGCACTTAAGAGACCAAATCCATTTACTCTCAATGAAATGCAGGCTCTTTCATGCCTAAGTCACTTTTGAAAATGGGACTTTGGTGCTTTTGAAAATTTTATCCTATGTCACAGTTGCACATATTTATAAAATGATATGGACTCACTGAAAAAACATCACAAATCAGATGTCAAGAATTATAACATTCATAAACCAGTCGGAGAACACTTCAATCTCTCTGGTCACGCAATCACAGACATGAAGGTCGCTATCTTAAAACAAAAAAACTTCAAATCCAGACTCCAGCGAGAAACTGCTGAATTGGAATTCATTTGCAAATTGGATACTATTAATTTAGGCTTAAATAGAGACTGGGAGTGGCTAAGTCATTATGCAAGGTAGCCTGTTTCCTCTTGTTTTTTCCTACCCCCCCTCCCCCCCAGATGTTCTGGTTTAACTTGGATTTAAACTTGGAGAGTGGTCAGTTTAGATGAGCTATTACCAGCAGGAGAGTGAGTTTGTGTGTGTATGGGGGTGGGGGGGGATGTGAGAAAACCTGGATCTATGCAGGAAATAGCCCGACTTGATTATGTAAAGAGTTGTCACTTTGGATGGGCTAGCACCAGCAGGAGAGTGAATTTGTCTGGGGGGGTGGAGGGTGAGAAAACCTGGATTTGTGCTGGAAATGGCCCACCTGTTGATCACTTTAGATAAGCTATTACCAGCAGGACAGTGGGGTGGGAGGAGGTATTGTTTCATATTCTCTGTGTGTATATAAAGTCTGCTGCAGTTTCCACGGTATACATCTGATGAAGTGAGCTGTAGCTCACGAAAGCTCATGCTCAAATAAATTGGTTAGTCTCTAAGGTGCCACAAGTACTCCTTTTCTTTTTGCGAATACAGACTAACACGGCTGTTCCTCTGAAACCTGAAAAAACTCTGTTACTGCAGCTATTACTACTAAGTGCTTATACAGTACTTCTCACTTCTTGAGCTCAAAACACTTTACAAAAAGGTGAAGAAACTATGGCTTGGTCTATACTACAGAGTTAGGTCGACGTAAGGCAGCTACACCACAATGCTGCTTCTATCAAAGTAAGTGGCCAGCTACATAGACATGAAGTGAGCTGTAGCTCACAAAAGCTTATGCTCAGATAAATTTCTTAGTCTCTAAGGTGCCACAAGTACTCCTTTTCTTTTTACATAGACATAGTAAATCCACCTCCATGAGAGGCATAGTGCTTATGTCAACGTACCTAGGGCGACAGTGTCCGTGTTAGCCAAGGGGGCTGACAGCTGGAGCCCTCCCCATCCCAGCCCCGGAGCTGACAGGCCGAGCTGTCAGCAGGGCACAGGCTTAGAGCTGTTACTGCCTCCTGGTGACAGATTGCGGAGGGAGAGCCCAAGCCTAGCTGCTGCCCAGATTTGGGCTCTTCTCCCCCTCTCAGTCCCTCAACAGGAAGAGGCAGCAGGGACAGGGGGCTCGGGCTGTCCTCCCTCCCTCACTCCCAATTCCTCAAGAAGAGACAACAACAGGGCTCGCAGCTGTCAGCCCCAGCAATGGGGCTCACAGCAAGAGCTCTGCCTCCCGACGCCCGGCGCTGACAGCCCAGAGCCCAGCGGCTATCTCCTGGAGAAGGACTGGGGGGGAAAGGATCCCCCTGCAGGCTGACAGCAGGACCCAGAGCAGAAATGTGAAACAACAGCCGTGAAACTGACAAGAATGTCAATTTCACTGCTGGTAAGCTCCCTGCTGTGAAATTGAGCCCCCCTTGGGATCACAGCTGGGGCTGCCAGCACGGGGGCGGGGGGCTAACAGCTGTGAGCCCACACCAGGCTGACTGCTTGGGCTGTTGGGGTAGTGGTCGCAGCTGTGATCTCCGTGCCTACAGCTGAGGCTGTCAGCTTCTGGGCTGCAATGTCCCACAATGCCCCACTTCAGTCAGTGTAAACTCTCCTGGTGAGGATGTGCACTGCTGACATAAGGAGCAAGTACAGACATGAACTATTGTTTTAATTACTGCTGTGACTGTATGTCGACTTAATTTTATATAGTGTACAAGCCCTAAGGCAGAGAGAATGGTTAAGTCACATGCCCATGATCATACAGCAAGTCATCAGCAGACCGGGGAATAAAACCCAGGTTTCCCCACTCATAATCCTGTGCCCTCAATTGCTTCCCTGACTAATCATGATGTTAGAAAAGTAAAAGAGCACAGGCTGGAGACTCCCTTAGACCAGTCATCTGTTCCCCTATTTCCCCTATTTCTGATTTAAAAAACAGTGAAGTGTGGGGGACATGAATGAACTATTAGTTAGGAAATCAAAAGTTGAAAAACCTGAGATTTACTGTAACACTGACTATTCTTATTGTGCTTGAAAAGGTTATTGTGTTTTGGAGAAAAGCAAGTGTAAGTGACAGCAACAGAGTCAGAATCAGCTGATAAGTGTTTTGGATTTAAAAGAATATTTTGTCCAAAGGAAAAAGAACCACAAAAACAAATAACTCGCTAGAGCATATGAGGAAGATATGAACATCATCAACTCAAATGTAAAGCACTGGAATTTAAAAAAATTCCACAGAAGACCTCTATTGCGTCTTCCCAGAGCAGATTCTGCCTCTCACCATCATCTCAGTCACACATTCCTTCAAAACCACTAATTCTTGCTTTCAATTGACCTAAAATAGTAACTTCTCTTATTCACAGCAATGGCTAAGAAATCAAAGTTTCACAATGCTTAAAAATACATTGATACCAACTCTCATTCTGAGACATTAACAACAATCCAGGGCATGTTCTAGAACAATACAACATAATTTCTCATGGGCTGCCAGGACTCATGGGCTTCAGCCTTGTGCTATGCTGCAGGTGTATTATGATGCTATTATAATGTATGACATATTAAAAACAAATGCCAGTACAGGATTGATAGCTATTCAGCAGTGAGCCATGCTGGTCAGCTCACCAGCCTTCCTTTCCAGCTCCCTTTCCACAGTAGCTGCCCATATCATTTACCCACTACCCAACCAGCCAGTCCCCTCCCATTCCTGTTTTAAAAGCTGTTAAATAAGATCAGTAAAAAAACATGGAAATTCTAACACGAAAAACTTCAGCGTAGAATTAAGGTAGCTCAGGTCCACTTCCTATCAACACAATCATCAAAAATCAAGAAAATCATCTGTTAAACCAAAATTACTATCCATGCTAACCTCATAGTGACATGCTTTACACATCCCAATCACCATCATTACCCAACAAGACAGTCTCCACAGCTCTAATGTCACTTTCAATTCTAACATCAAACCACCCCAATGCACACAATCAATTTCTCACAATCACACAGTCTTAGTCCCACCATAGATCTGGATTAAGATAATATTTCCTATCGATATCGAAGTCTATACATGTATTAGCTGTGCATGAAAAGCATAAATTCCCTAACAATGTAAACTGTTGGTTTTATTTCATGTAACCAGAAGGCCTGTTTTAATATATAAGCTAACTTGTAATGGCTAGGTGGACTAATGTTTGTACAGCGCTTTGAAAATGTAAAGCCCTATAAAAATGCTAAGAATTATTAATGAATTTTTCTGCATTGTATTTCACATAGAAGTGCTTGCTTTGGGACAAGATCCCAAGAAAAATACCTGTGTCCCATAGGATACATTCAGGGAGACCACCATACCTCGCAGCAGGATATGCTTTTTCTGGTCCTCCATGAAAAGAGAGCTCATTTGCGATAACATGGCTTTGAAGTCATCAGTCCTCTTGTATTGCTGCAGAGCCTTTGAGAAGAGATCATAGTGTAACTGGCTCAGGGCTTGCTTTACTGTTGCAATGAACAATGTGGCCCTGGTCTTCTTTGGCTCAGCAGGGTCTGCTACTTTGTCAGCTTGCTGCAAAGAGGACACCAAAGTTTTTCGGTAAATGGGATGCATTGGAGAGATTAATTGAAATGGGAAGAAGTAAACCCAGGAACTTTGTTTCAACATACAGCACCTCAAGTAGATGCAGAACGGTCATCATCAATAAAGTTGACATGAGTTAACTACACAGCACAGAACATAATGCAGTGCTTCTTAGTGACTAACATCCTGTTAACTCCATTATAAGCAATGGTAGTTGCTCAGAAACGTGCATTACTAATGCACCATCTCCTGATAAACAAGTTTCAGTGCTGCAGAAGGGAACACAAACACAGTTGTGTCCGTCTGCTGGAAATTCACAGCTCCCTGGGAGAATTTAGCCATCCTCTGTGTGTGCAAAGCATGGGTTCCGTGAAACAGATGGAACTTAGCTCATCTTGGTTACTTTAGGATGCTCACACACACACACACACGCAAGCAAGGCAATGAGATGAATCTAGCATTGTAAAACTTATTTCCTCAATCACGAAAAGCAGGGAATTTGAAAAATGTCCCAAACCAGCCATCTAAAAACAGTTATTTTGGAAGAGGAAGTTCTCCCAAAGGCCCCCCACTGAAAACTGGGATGATCCTTCCCTGCCTGTCCCGTGCTTCTCTACCGGATGGGATATCATTGCTGGTAGGGTTTAATGCAAGGATAGGCAAACTACGGCCCGTGAGCCAAATCTGACCCTCAAGCTCCCAGTGGGTAGTGAGGTCTGGGGCTTGCCCTCCTCTGGCGCTCCAGCCAAGGAGCAGGGTCTGGGGCTGCTCCATGCGGCTCCCAGAAGCAGCGGTACGGCCCCCCCTCCGGCTCCTACACGTAGGGGCAGCCAGGGCACTCCGCTCTGCACATTGCCCCCACCCCAAGAGCCGCCTCCGCAGCTCCCATTGGCTAGGAACCGCATCCAATGGGAGCTGCAGGGGCAGCGCCTGCGGACGGGGCAGCATGCAGAGCCGCTTGGCTGCACCTCCGTGTAGGAGCCAGAGAAGGGACATGCTGCTGCTTCTGGGAGCCACTTGAGATAAGCGCCATCTGGAGCTTGCACCTCTGAGCCTGCCTCTGCACCCAAACCCCCAGCCCCAGCCCTGATCCCCCTCCCTCCCTCCCAGCCCAGAGCACCCTCCTACACCTCATCCCCAGCCCCCACACCCCCAACTGGAACCCTCACTCCCCCCCGCACCCCGCTCCCCTCCACATCGTGAACTCCTCATTTCTGGCCCCACCCCTGAGCCCTCACCCCGCCCCCCCTCGTTCCCACCCCTGCACTCCAACCCCAATTTTGTGAGCATTCATGGCCCGCCATACAATTTCTATTCCCAGATGTGGCCCTCAGGCCAAAAAGTTTGCCCACCCCTGGTTTAATGCTTGGCCATTGTAACTCCAGAATGGAAGCAGGAATTTCAGGAGACAGGCTTGTACTGCGGAACACAGTAGGGATTTTCCTAAGGATATAACTTATATTTCTGTTGGCAGTCCCCTAGTTATTCTATGACAGCAGCTGTATTAATTGGGTCTGAATCATAGTGTGCTCATAAATCAAAACAGAATGCCTGCAGTATATTTTAATATAGCCCTTCCTCATAAGCCTTTCCCCATGGGTATATTCCTTAGGGCAACAAATGGTGACTCCTTGGGGAATTCCAATACCTGTGTATGCAACAATTTCCCAGACTCTTATTATATATGCTCCTAAAACACCCATCCCTGTAACATCTGGGGTCATTCACATAAATTTAGATGTTCACCTGTTCCCTCCCTCAAGGAAGAGGAACAAACTCTAATCCTGTTCCTCACAGATTACTGGTGAGTGCTTTAGGGGAACTGAACTCTGGGTGGATTGCTTTCCAGGGCAGGCAGGCAGCCAGGTCCATTGCACAACTCTATTCTTAGGAGAAGGTCTGCCAAAAGAGATGAGTCTTGAATCACACCTTGAGGGCTACAAGACTGACTCATCATAATCTAGGTAGCAATGAATTCCACCGCTGAGGGCCCTCTGCTGAGAGCAACCTGCTTCCATTCCTGTTGGAGCCTGGATTCTGTCAGGCTCAGCATCCCTGAGCTCAACTGCCATGGTGGGATGTGGAGCAACAGGTGGTCATTTCAACAGTTAGTTCCTAATCCATTTCAGGCTTTGAAGATAAACATCAGTATCTTGAAAGGGCTCCAGAAATATACATAATCTGTGTATAGAGCTCATATCAGTTTGTTCTACCTTGCAGGCAGACAGCTGCATGATGAACCTACTGTAGTTTCTTGAGTCATCTTCAGAGTGCACTGCAATAGCTCAGCCCTGAGGTGATAAAAACATGGCTCACTGTGGCTAAGCCTACATCTGTGAAACTAGCATGCAATCTCTCTGCCAGTCTCGGCTGGTCATGGATGACATCTGAGCCTCCATGAGCAGTGCAAAAGAACTGTGAGGTTGCCTGCCATCCTGAAATGGGCGAGACGATGGTCTCTACTAAATGGGCATTCAAAGCTCCAGGAAGAGCCTCAAAATACTTCACCCTTTCTACTGACATTAATTATCTCAGCCTATCCTCAACTGAGCCCAGTACTGTCTACACTTGATAAGGAGGAGAGAAAGTTAGGTGTCAATGGCACTGCAGTACCATCAATTCAGCCCCCCCCCACCTGAATATGCATTATAACGCAATCTTTAGTTACGTGATAGCTGCCTCCTTCACCACACACCCTTTCAAATGTCTGCACAAAAGAGGTAGAGGTCCTACAGTCACCCACCTTCACTACACAACCCTGATTCATTCCCAGACCATTGTCAATCCCTGTGCACTAAATGAGGTAGGAATCCTGTGGAAAAAATATTATGTAAGCATGTAATTAAAGACTGTATAATATAAAGCATCTCGCAAGAGGGTCTAATTCAGATTTCACAAGCAACCTCAATGTGGGCATTCCCTACCAGCTGATTGCTTGACTTTGAAACCTTAATGTTCATTTAATGTGGCTTTTAAATGTAATTTCCTGGCTTTTTAAACTTAAAAATTGAAAAAACAAAACCAAAAATTCCACCATATGGAACCATATTGACTCTCACATGAGTCATCAGTAGGGTTAGGATCTTTAGACCCATAGCACAGTCCTCTATCACTCAAGCTAATTGAAATAACTAGTAGCAGAAGGTGGCTAATAACTTTAGCTTTGGTGGACATGCCTCTGGAGGGGGAAGGAGACACATACTTTGCCAGACACACACAGCTAGTTGCCAGACAGCAAAGGAATGATGAATCTCAGAAATAATGGGTTCAGTTCCAGGTCTGGTAGGGGATTGTGCTCTAGAGATTAGAAACCCTTCTGCCCCGATCCCCTCAGCCTTTCCCTGTCCTCCTCTTCTCCTATTCCCCCTTCCCCAGCAACTCCCTCTGTACCTCGATGCTATTTCCTTTCCCGCAGCTCCTGGGTGTCGACAACCTTGCTCCTATACTTCCCCACACACTCAGCTCCTGTTCTTTCAGTCCTGCTCCCCTCTCTCTCCCCCTTCCCCGTCTGCTCTCATCATTCCTCACCCTGGCTCCTGCCTTTCTCCTCACCTCTCTTGGGGCTCCCGCTCCTAACTCCCTTCCACCCAGACTCCTGCCCTTGTCCCCCAGCTCTGCATCTCTTCCCACTTGTCCCTCTGTTCTTCACTACTCTGCATCCTCGAGTCAAGCTGTTTCTGCTGGGGTGTCAGTAGGGAAACAACACTGAGAACTAAGGAGAGACATCTTAGTTCCTATGCCTTGCACGACAAAGAGTCCCTGCTAGGAGCCGCTGCAGGGAAAGTCCCGCTTAGTCTCTGCTGCCCTGCGCTACAGTTGCTCTGGGGGGGAAGGTGGATACACCATCTGATCAGCACACAGAATCTGTGAGGAGCTGGAACCATTTTAATATGGCTAAATGTAGATGTGTACATCTGGGAACAAAGTATGCAGGTCATATTTACAAGATGGGGGATACTAACATGGGAAACAGTGACTAAAAAAAGATGTGGGGGTCATGGTGGCTAATCAACTGAACATGAGCTCCCAGCATGATGCAGTGGCCAAAAGGGCTAATGTGACCCTTGGATACATAAACGGGAATCTCGAGTAGAAGTAGAGAAGTTATTTCACCTCTCTATTTGGCATTGGTGTGACCACTGCTGGAATCCTGTGTCCAGTGCTGGTGCCCACAATTTAGGAATGGTGTCCCTAGCCTCTGTTTGCCAGAAGCTGGGAATGGGCGACAGGGGATGGATCCCTTGATGATTCCCTGTTCTGTTCATTCCCTCTGGGGCTCCTGGCAGTGGCCACTGTCAGAACACAGGATACTGGACTAGATGGACCATTGATTTGACCCAGTATGGCTGTTCTTATGATGTTGATAAATTGGAGAGGATTTAAAGAAGAGACATGAGAATGATTAAAGGATTAGAAAACATGCCTACCGTGATAGAAGAAGTTTAATCTATTTATCTTAAAGAAAAGATTATGGGGTCACTTTATTACAGTCTATAAGTATCTACATGTGGAACAAACAGGGCTGTCAAATGATTAATTTTTTTAATCATGATTAATCGCACAATTAATCATGCTGTTAAACAACAGAATACCATTCATGTAAATATTTTTGGATGTTTTCTACATTTTCAAATATATTGATTTCAATTACAACAGAATACAACGTGTACAGTGCTCAATTTATATTTATTTTTATTACAAATGTTTGCACTGTAAAAAACAAAAGAAATAGTATTTTTCAATTCACCTAATAAAAGTACTGTAGTGCAATCTCTTTATCATGAAAGTTGAACGTACAAATGTAGAATTATGTACAAAAAAAAACTGCATTCAAAAATAGAACAATGTAAAACTTTAGAGCCTACGCTAAAGATTCATATGTCCCTTCATGCTTCAACCACCATTCCAGAGGACGTGTCCATGCTGATGATGGGCTCTGCTCGACAACGATCCAAAGAAGAGTGGACTGATACACGTTCATTTTCATCATCTGAGGCAGAGGCCACCAACAGAAGGTTGATTTTCTTTTTTGGTGGTTCGGGTTCTGTAGTTTCTGCATCTGAGCATTGCTCTTTTAAGACTTCTGAAAGCATGTTCCACACCTCATCCTTGTCAGATTTTGGACAGCACTTCAGATTCTTAAACCTTGGGTCGAGTGCTGTAGCTATTTTTAGAAATCTCACATTGGTACCTTCTTTGTGTTTTGTCAAATCTGCTGTGAAAGTGTTCTTAAAACGAACATGTGCTGGGTCATCATCAGACTGCTATAACATGAAATATATGGCAGAATGTGGGTAAAACAGAACAGGAGACATACAATTCTCCCCCAGGGAGTTCAATCACAAATTTAATTAATGCATTATTTTTTTAACGAGCCTCATCAGCATGGAAGCATGTCCTCTGGAATGGTGACCAAAGCATGAAGGGGCATATGAATATTTAGCATATCTGGCATGTAAATACCATGCAACGCCATCTACAAAAGTGCCATGTGAATGCCTGTTCTCACTTTCAGGTGACGTAAATAAGAAGCAGGCAGCAGTATCTCCCGTAAATGTAAACAAACTTGTTTGTCATAGAGATTGGCTGAACAAGAAGTAGGACTGAGTGGACTTTTAGTCTCTAAAGTTTTACATTTGTTTTGTTTTTGAGTGCAGTTATGTAACAAAAAAATTGTAAGTTACACTTCCACAATAAAGAGATTGCACTACAGTACTTGTATGAAGTGATTTGAAAAATACTGGTTTTTATTTATCATTTTTACAGTGTAAATATTTGTAATAAAAATAATAATATAAAGTGAGCACTGTACACTTTGTAGTCTGTGTTGTAATTGAAATAAATATATTTGCAAATGTAGAAAAACATCCAAAATATTTAATTTCAGTTGGTATTCTATTGTTTAACAGTGCGATTAATTTTTTTTAAAGTTAATCACATGAGTTAACTGCAATTAATCGACAGCCGTAGGAACAAATATTTAATAAAGGGCTCTTCAATTTAGCAGAAAAAGGTATAACATGATCCAGTGGCTGGAAGTTGAAGTTAGACAAATTCAGACAGCAAATAAGGCATACATTTTTAACTGAGAATAATTAGCTATGGGAACAATTTACCAGGGGTCGCAGTGAATTCTCCATCACTGACCATTTTTAAATCAAGATTGGATATTTTTCTAAAGCATCAGCTCCAGGAATTATTTTGGTGAAATGCTATGGCCAATGCTACACAGGAAGATGATCACAATGCTCATTATTGGCCTTAGAATCTACGAGAATGCTCAGTGCAGACAGAATCTTCAGAAAATTTAGCTCACAAACTAACAAACCTTTACTGAACTTGTGCAAACTCCGACTTTTCAGACGCTTATAACTTGTCCAAATTTGGACATATTTTCCTAGGGATAGAAAAGGCACATCTCCAACACTAGGGTGACATCCCCGCCAAATTTCAAGTCCGTGCTCCAAAGCCTGGAGGTGCTAGAGCTTTCTTCTTCAATGATTGTAAGATTTTGTTTTTTTACATGGGCAAAACAACTTATTTTCCCCTAACCTAATTCTTGGAAATGGTGGACTTTTGTAGCTGAAAATTATCCCAAAAATTCAATCTGAGTCAGACACTCATCTTGGAAATTTTTAGGTTTAATATTGGCCAAGTTATAAGAAATTGGAAACAGAATCTTACACTGGAAACTTTTGGGCAACTTTAATTACAGGCATTGCTACTTGCACCGCCTATAAAACATATAAACAATCTCAGCCTTTTTATCTCAGATTCTACTCTCATATAAACTGTTCAACACAAACACATACCAGATTGTTGACTATTCTTATTTTCTTTCTTCCTCCTTTCTGCTCATCTGTTAACCTCTTCTCGTACTGAAGCGAGAGCGTTGATAAACGTTTTGCCTGTAAAGACAATATTAAAAGGCTTTAGTTTATTTTGTTTCCCCCCTTCCTCTTCTTGTCATTTTCTGTAATAAAGGTAGTTAATCCCGCACAGTGACATGACTCCAAGGAGACAAAGCAAATCATGACAAACTGTGTCAATGGAGCGTTGGATGAATTTCGGTTTCTGGAAGAGCACTCACCTACTGGATGATTCAGAAGACAGGGAATGAAGCAGATAAACAAAGACAATATATGGGGCAGTTCAGAGAGGACGAACACATTCATTTGAATGTGTAGAATGGTCCTAACTAGAAAATTATGATGGCATTACAGTGAGCGAGTGAGGCAGAGGCCACTCTTTTGTTCCTTCGTACTTCCTCCAGAGATCCTCATATCAAAGAAACAGAAATTAGAAAATAAGCCTAACCTGTGGAGATTGTTCTCTGCTACGCAATCTTATATTTTATTTTGAAATGACCATCGTATGTAAAACTAATTCAAAATATTCCCTATATAGACATCTTTTACAATGCAGAGAGAGAACTGGACAACTGGCTGACAGAGAACTGCAAAAGTTCACATCAAGAGAAACTGTGCTCTTCCTTAATGGTTTAGCTTTCTTTCCCTCCCAAGGACTATTCTGTGTCCGCAAAGGTTATGAGGGTGAATCTGGCCTTGAGTTTTAAAGAATACCAGCAAGTCATGCCTTAATCCAGGCTATGAAGAGTCTTTAGCCAGTTGTATTTCCAGCGTTTCATAAAGCAGACTGTAGAGTACAGGGTCATGAATCTACTATGATGAAAACTGTAAGCATATGTAATTCTTAATATATTGATCCTTTTCAACTTTTTGAATTTATTTTATTTATTCAGAAGACAATAATTTATTATAAACTGAATCTTGAGACAGATGGTTGAAAATTCAAATAAGGCTTTTTTTTAAAATCAAAGGTTGATTTAAATGTTAAAAAATATTATTTTGATTTTTCCCTGCACCCTGAGTTCCCTCCTTTCAACAGATAAATCAGACCAGGACACTGCCTAGCATGTTAAGAGTAAAAACCTAATGCAGTTATGCAGAAACTTTACCTTTCAAAGTCAGTCAGAGCAGGATTAGGTAACACAGCGGTAAAAACAAAAACAACGAGGAGTCCGGTGGCACCTTAAAGACTAAGATTTATTCGGGCATAAGCTTTCGTGAGTAAAAAACCCACTTCTTCAGATGCATGGAGTGAAAATTATACAGGCATAAATTTATACAGGCATAAATATATATTGGCACATGAAGAGAAGGGCGTTACCTTACAAGTGGAGAACTGATTTTGAAGGCCAATTCAGTCAGGGTGGATGTGGTCCACACCCAATAACTGATGAGGAGGTGTCAATACCAAGAGAGGAAAAATTGCTTTTGTAGTGAGCCAGCCACTCCCAGTCCCTATTCAAGCCCAAACTGACGGTGTTAAGTTTGCAAATTAATTGTAGCTCTGCAGTTTCTCTTTTAAGTCTGTTTTTGAAGTTTTTTTGGTTGAAGAATGGCTACTTTTAAATCTGTTATTGAACATCCAGGGAGACTGAAGTGTTCTCCTACTGGCTTTTGTATGCTACCATTCCTGATGTCCGATTTGTGTCCATTTATCCTTCTGAGTAGAGACTGTCCGGTTTGGCCAATGTACAGGGCAGAGGGGCATTGCTGGCACATGATGGCATATATCACATTAGTAGATGTGCAGGTGAATGAGCCCCTGATGGTGTGGCTGGGTCCTATGATTGTGTCGCTAGAGTAGATATGGGGATGCCTGAGGCAAGCGGCCACCAGCGCCATGCACTTCATGAACACCCGCGGGGCCGAAGAGAGACCAAAGGGTAGCGCCGTGAACTGGAAATGGCGCCCTCCTATCATAAAACAGAGGAAGTGCCTGTGCCTTGGAAATATAGAAATATGGAAATAACCATCTTTCAAGTCAAGAGCGGCGTACCAGTTTCCTGGATCCAGGGAAGGGATGACAGAGGTCAGGGAGACCAGGCGAAACTAACTTCTTGAGAGACTTGTTGAGACGGCGCAGATCCAGAATGGTTCTGAGGCCCCATTTCACTTTTGGGATTAGGAAGTACCAGGAGTAAAACCCCTTTCCTTTCATGTTCCAAGGAACCTCCTCCATAGCCCCCAGACGCAGAAGACTGTCAACCTCCTGAATGAGGAGTTGCTCGTCAGAAGGGTCCCTGAAGAGGGGAGAAGGGGGGGGGGGGAGAGCGGGGAAAGAAGGGGCAAAAATTGCAGGGTATAGCTATTATGTCCAGGACCCAACGCTCCAACGTAACCCGCAACCAGGCTGAGAGGTAGGGAAAAAGGCGGTTGAGGAAAGGCAGCAGCGGATCCGAGGAATTGGCTGGGACGTCGCTCTCAATTGTGCCATCAAAATGGGCGCTTCTGCCCTGCCAAACGTTTAGCCTGGCTAGGATGTGGAGGTAAGTAGGAGGCAGAAAGGCAGCAATGACCAAATGTAGTGTCCCTGTCCCTTCTCCTGACAGGTCCGGAATGAGGTTGCCACGACCTTGGTGTCGGGGACAGCTAGAACAGCTTACATGCAGACTGTGGTGTGTGGATGCCCAGCGAACAGAGGGTGGCTTTGGTGTTCTTCATCCCGTGCAGCCTCGCATCCGTTTGATCGGAAAACAGACCGCTCCCATCAAAAGGAAGGTCCTGAATGGAGGTCTGCATCTCCTGGGAAAGCCCAGCGGTTTGAAGCCAGAAGCTGCGCCTCATCACCACTGCGGATGACACCACCCTGGCTGCCAAGGCCACCGCATCTGCAGGTGCAGCAGGCCACTGAGGCTCCCTTCTGCACCAGGGTGATGAATTCCTGGGCCTGATCTTGCGGGAAGGACTCCTTAAATTTATGGAGAGTGTCCCATAAATTGAAATTATAGTGGTCCAGGAGGGCCTGGTGGTTTGCCACCCGAAACTATAGACTTGCAGTGGAATAAATCTTTTCTTCCAAACAAGTCCAGCCGCTTGCCTCCTTATTTTTTGGGGTAGAACTGGAGTGCCCCTGCTTCTCCTTCTCATTGGCCATGGAAACCATCAGTGAGCCGTGACGAGGGCGGGTATAAAGATATACAAAACTTTTGGCAGGGACAAAATACTTTTTCTCAGCTCATTTTGAGGTGAGAGGGCTGGAGGAGGGCATCTGCCAAATGGCTTTGGCAACTTTGAGGATCCCTTCATGCACTGGTAGTGCAATACGGGAAGGGGTCAAGGCTAACAGGACACTGAATAGTGTCTTGCTGTTCAGCCATCTCCTCCACTTGTAGGCCCAGGTGGTTGGCCACCCGCTGGAGTAAGGCATGGTGGTCCTTAAAGTCATCAGGCAGGCTGGCACTGGAGGAGCCAGCGACCGCCTCGTCGGGGGAGGATGAGGAGGACTGTCTCGGTGGAGACCTGTTCCTCCTCCTCCACCGGGGAGGCCGGCTTGTGGGTAGGCACAGCATCCTGAGACTTGGCAACCAGGTGTGCCTCCAGTACCGTGCCTGGGGGCATCGCCATGACCAGGATCCCCCAGGCATTCCAACTTTGCCACTGAGCAGGCCACTGCACAGACTGCTATTACCCCTCTGCCACTGCGGCCAGCTCGGACACCCAATCTCGCCGCTGAGATCTAGGTGACAGGCTGAAGAGGCCCTCGGTTCCGGAGAACCCCCCCTTCTGGAGACCACGGTGGGGTTGTTGAGGCCTGGGTCTGCCTAGAGACCACTGACACAGGAGACCGGCGCCCTGCCCGAGGGAACCAATACAGAGAGTGTGGTGAGCGGGTCCCATGCCGAGGAGATCGGAGGTGTGAAGAAGATTGTTCCCACTGTGTCGGTGACTGGGATCGGTGTTGGGATGACGACCTTTGGGATGGCAATCGGCACCGATAATAGCTGGACTAGCGCCTCCCTCTCGGCAAGCTGAATCGAGATGACAGCGACCGTGACCACGGAGCCGGTGACCAACAATAAGTATCCGCCGATCTCAGCGATGGCACTGGTGCCTGGCGGTATGGAGGAGGAGAGCGCACCATCATCTCAAGGAATCGGCGGCACTCCACCACTCCCTAGGGAGCCTTGTCGACTGGCTTGCCCTCTTGGGGAGCCTTAGCCGAAGCCTGTGGCACTGGTAGCACAGGTGGAGAGCTGTGCTTCTTTGAAGCCAGGGCTCTTGAAGGCATCAGTGCCGGCAGGGGAGTCAGTCCAGTCCCGCTTGCAGGAGTCAGAGGAGGACCTTTCAGCGGGCTGACGGCCCGGACAGGAGAGGGCCAACTGCGGGGCTCTGCGGTAGGCAGGTAACTCGAGGCAGGCTCTTTGCTTTCTGCTAACTGGCCCCTTTTTGTTGGTGCCACGGAGCCATGCTTCCTAGCCCTCTTCTTTGGCACCAGCAACACACAGCAGTGACAAGTGGGCCCCGGTGCCAGTGGCACACTTCCTACCAATGCCGAGGTGCTGGGAGATTCATGGCGGGAGAGCTCAGACCCTGGGAAGACTCCATAAGGAGGGCTCTGAGCCCGATGTCTCTCTCATTTTGCGTGCGAGGCCGAAAGTTTTTACAAATTCAGTACCTCTCTTTAACGTGCACTTCCCCCAGGCACTTGAGACAGCTACCGTGGGGGGTCACTAACAGGCACAGGCCTCTTACAGGATTCACAGGGCTTAAAACCCCACTGGGACCTAACTAGTAACACTAACTACTGCAATAAACGGGTACTTAACACTAAAAATAAGTATGCAGAAAGCCTAAAGGCAAAAAGTCCATGGTAAGAAAACCACAAGTCTGATGAGCAAGGAAAGGTGTCCTGACTGACCACCATAGGCGGTAAGAAGGAACTGAGAGGCTGTAGGGCCAGCAGCGCCTGATATACCAGTGCATGAGCGCAGCACTCAAGGGGATGACAACTGGCCTTATGGATACCGCTAAGGCAAAAATCTCCGACGACTGCACACATGGGCGCATACACTCCTACAATGGAATCGACATGAGCAAGCACTCAAAGAATATATCTGCATATTCAGCAGGGTACGAATACAATCCTGCCTGCTCGTATATGATTCCTGAATACTTACTTTGTCATTCACCTAGAAGATAAAAATACCCTCAAGATATGTTGGGTTTAAGAACTGGCCATTGATGTTCTTCTCTTTCATAACTGCAGTTGTCATTGCCTAGAGATGCTCAAAGCTGTGCGAGTTTGAGCAGGATAAACACAACAACCATATGGCTTTTTAATTCATTTGATTTAATTAATCAAATGGGTTCAGGTGAAGGGGTGCTTATTCCCCTGACTGGCAAACGGCACCCCATACTGAACAGCTCTATGCACAAGAAATAGCCCTGAAAGCAATATTTTCATAAGAGACATCTCTGTGTTAAAGAAAACTGATTAGCAGGAACAGTAAAACTATTCCTGCATGTAATGGAGTCAGGGGCCATATTGAGACAGGAAACCAGGCTACTCCAACAAAACTGCATCACTAATTGCAAAAAATTCATTTCTGGAATAGCGGGAGGAAACCAGCCTGATCAGAAATGTATTTCACTTAGACCTCCCAGTTAGAGACTATTCTCTCTCTAGAAGAGGCCTAAGGAAAAGCAGTAGCATAGAAGATGCTTACTAACCCTACTGTGCAATGGCATTGCAGGGCTCCTGTGGCTCAGTGATAAGGTACTTCTATCTGTGCAGTGTGGGCTCTGAGAGCCAAAGAGTCCATTTCTCATTTGAATGCTGCTCCACATGCAGATAAAAATTCAAAAGGAGTTCCAGTTTTCCTGTAATACATATTCACATTCAAACAACTACAGTGAATGTCCACCATGAGGTTCTGCATATACAGCAACCTCTTTTTGAGGACTCCTCAGGCCTAAAAGTAGAATGCTAACTTCTGGCAGTCTGTGTCTCACCTATAGCAGTGATAAGTTCATTATTAGCACCAATGTGAATGTGTAGGTCACATACTAGAACGTGGCAGGGTGTCCTTCTCCAAAAAGAAGCTATTACTCAAGCGCATCTCTAGACCTTTCTTGTTAATGGTGATGAATTACAAGGTATTTTTTTGAAAGGATTTGGATCCGGCACCCATAAATTGTCAAACAAACATTTAATTTTAGGACCAATAGTTCATTCAAACCTACATACAGCTCTTCTGTATGCGATCACCATTACCTTTTCCTCTCCTGGCAAGCAGTCATCTTCCGCCCCTTCACTGCTCTTCTCATTGTGCTCCAATGCATCCAGGAGCCCAAAGGGCTGCTTCCTTGATGAGATCAGCTCTTGATCGTACTCCACACACAGGCTGGTTGCTCCATCCCCCAGCAGCCCTACAACATCAAGACAGAATGTAAACAGACCTGTTATTTACCCTGCAGTAACTGTGGTTTTCCAAGATGCAGACAGTCAGGGTGGATCCTGCAATAGGTGAGCACATGCCTTACATGCACAAGACTGACTCTCTCTCAGAGAGAGAGAGAGAGAGAGAGAGAGACAGAGAGAGAGAGACAAGTGATGTCCATTGGAGCTATATATGGGAACTCTGCCTCCTTGTGCTCTCTTATGAAGGCATAAAACATGGGGCAGCTGCAATCCTCCCTGAGTTCCCTTGCAATTCAAAGCCTGTGTTGCAGAGGAACCTGAAAAGTAGGGATGAAGGGCAGGTCATGGGATCCAAAGTGAACTCCTTGGAATTTCAAAGAACCAGAAAAGTTAGTGAGTTGCTCTACACAGTTGCCTTGCAGAACTCAGAGACTAGCACATTCCTCAAGCAGGCAGATGCTGCTGCCTGTGCTCTGGTGAAATGTGCCTTGATGTTCAATTGCTTGCTTGATGTATGGCCCCGGTGATGGTGAGGAGCATAACTCCTTCAGGGTTGATGCTGACATACAAGCCACTTTCAGTACTGGAGTCCATGCCAGTGGATAGCTCACCACTGACAATGGGCCTGGTTCAGCCTGAGCGTCATCCCACAAGGACAGGATTGACACCAATGGTACGACCATCGTTGTCAGGAGAATCTGATCTTTCTCTCCATCCCTCGATACTGTGAGGGTCTTGGAGGGCTTATCCCCAGATGTCCTGCTGTGCCTGTCTGTGTGGGAGGACGCTGTGTGGGAGGGCTTTAAGCTTCTGCTCCGGTACTCAGAGTGGCCACTTCCAATGCTCAACTTCAGTGTCTGAGATGTTGTTGCCAGCTTTGTCATCAAAGCAGAGGTCAACTTTGGTGCTGGTGCCGATGTCGGTGACGGGCCTTTTCTCGGTGGTATATTCTCCTTGGTAGTCTTTGTCACCTGTCTGCTTGATGGGGTGCTAAATGATGCTTGTTTGTTCAGTAGCTTGTTGCCTCTGGATCTGTAGTCTGGGCCCAGAAGGTGGAGTTTCAACCTCACATCTCATGACTTGTGCGGTGTCCAGGCTAAGTATACTGAGCACCTGCTCAGAACATGAGATTCTCCCAAGCAGAAAATGACATCTACTGTGCCTGTCTTTAAGGGGAATTAGTCCATCGCAGGATGGACAGGGTTAGAAGCCTGCAGATTTTGAATTCATCGCTATAGAAACACTGTACGGTGGGGCTGACGTGGGGATAGGGGAGGGTTGGAAAGGGAGTCTGTAAGGTGTGTCTGAGAAGAAGTGTTCAGTTCTAATATAGTCATCAGTCCACAGTGGTTGAAACAGAAGAGGAGAAATGATTCTGAAGATTTTCAGCAGAACCAGAAAGAATTTTGCCTGACTTCAGAACTAATGGGTCAGACACTCACTGATTTCCATCTCGCTGCCATGGGCAGTAAGAAGGAAGTGAAGCAGGTGGCAGTCACCCTGCCCTTCTATAGAACAAGAGGCAGCTCAGTAGGACCCCTGTGCAGCTCTGACAGTCTGCTGGTCAAAACGTATCTGGACCCTACAGTGGGATCAACGCTGACCCATACGCCAAGAAGAAATTGACATACCTCCCCCTCCTCTTACATGCCTGGTGACATGCCAATGTTTCCAATAACTCTGATGGATTCTACAGGATTTCCTACCAAACATCCCTTCTAACCCTCTGGGGCAACCCAGTAGTGTGTGCTGGTTTCTCTCATCCTTTGTCTCACTTGCAGTAGAACTGCACTGAACAGCTGAGTCAACAAAAGTCAGTTTAGCTGATCTGTTCCAACTTGGGGACTTTATATCTTGTGATAGGGTCAGGCCAGATGGCTAAAGGAGAGCGATAGAAGGCAGATATATTAGCCCCAGGTTAAGTAGGTCCCTTTTCCTTGGGTAAGGTAACAGGGAAGGTTCCAGAACAATCAGGAACTTTCTGGAAACAATTAAGGCAGACAGGCTGATTAGAACACCTGCAGCCAATCAAGAAGCTGTTAGAATCAATTAAGACAGGCAGGTTAATCAGGACACCTGGGTTTAAAAAGGAGCTCACTTCAGTTTGTGGTGCGCATGTGAGGAGCTGGGCGCAAGAAGCTGAGAGTGAAAAGGCGTACTACTGGAAGACTGAGAAGTACAAGCATTATCAGACATCAGAAGGAAGGTCCTGTGGTAAGAATAAAGAAGGTGTTGGGAGGAGGCCATGGGGAAGTAGCCCAGGGAGTTGTAGCTGTCACGCAGCTGTTACAGGAGCCACTGTAGACAGCTACAATCCACAGGGCCCTGGGCTGGAACCCGGAGTAGAGGGTGGGCCCGGGTTCCCCCCAACTCCCTACTTGATACCAGAGGAGCTGACCTGGGCTGTGGGTTCCACCAGAGGGGAAGGTTTCTGGCCTGTTCCCCAATCCACTAGGTGGATCAGTGGAGACTGCGGGGATCGTTCTTCCTTTTCCCCATGCTGGCCAGTGATGAGGCTAACTGAGTGAACGGCAGACTTGAGCCACGAAAGTGGCCAAACTGAGGGCTGCCATGAACCTCTGAGGTAAGCAAATCCGCCAATAAGTGCAGGACCCACCAAGACAGAGGAGGAACTTTGTCACAACCTTTGTAATTCTGACTTCTGTATTTAAAGGATGGACTTCTACATCAGGGAAAGCTTGAATAAAATCATATTTAAGCTCACAACACTTTACACTGAGTGATCTTCAGAAATCTTACTGCCACTCTTACTACCAAAGTTATTTGTGTTTAAACATTGTGGGTCTCTGAATTGCCCTCAGAGACCAATTCCTGGAGTGAAGTCTGAGTAATTAACTTTTGACTTGGCACAAGATTAATATTAACACACACATTTTCTATGGTGTTACAGAAGACTTTTTTTTTTTACTTGTTAAAGTGAGACTATTAGCTACTATTAGCCACGTAAATTACTATACTAGACAATCACCTCACTGATTGAGCTTACAAAGTGCTTGTAATTACATGTACCAAACTGACATCTTATTGCCATTTATTCAAGCTTCCTGTCCATGAAACATATTCTCATCCTTTAGGGCCCAGTTGTGTCTGTCTGTAGATACTTTAACCCTACAGTTCCAGGTTCTGGCAACATCAGTTTGATGCTTCTAAAAAGGCATTCTCCCCACACACAAAAAATCACCTATTTCTCTTTAGTTTGTGAGACTACCTACCTTTGTGTGTCAGTTACTAAGTAGAGTAGCTAAATATTTTTACTTCTGGCAAAACAATCTGAGTAACAATCAGACAAAGTTGTATGCAGAGTTGCTGTAGCTATGCTGGTCCCAATATATTAGAAAAACAAGATGGGTGAGGTAATATCTTTTACTGGACCAACTTCAGTGAGAGCGATGAACTTTTGAGATTACACAGTGGCTTGAGGAAGAGCTCTGTGTAATCTCAAAAGGCTGTCTGTCTCCCTCCAACAGAAGTTGGTCCAATAAAAGATATTACCTCACCCATCTTGTCTCTCTAATCAGAAAGTATCAGGAAAGCAAGAATAATTTTTAAGAACACCATCTGGCTTGGAGACCATATTTACTGTGCAATGAAACATTGTCAAATTCAGGAACAGCAAGCAGTCCACAACAGAATGGTCTGTTCTAGTTTCTTTGGCATGAAAAACATTTTACCTTTGACATCAGTTAAGCTCAATTTTTTAGGTCACTGGTTCATTTGATGTCAATGTCCTCATTTTGTTTTCGGTGCTATCACAATGTACAGGAGACTAGTATTGAACAGAATGGGAGATGAGGTATGTAGCTAACAGCATTTAGCATCTTTATTAGGAGGATTTCAAATACTTTACAAAGGTGAACAAGAATTATCACCCCCATTTTGAAGATGGAAAAATGGAGGCAGGGTTTCAGATGGCAAGTCAGTGGCAGTGTCAGAATCAGAAGCCAAGCCTTCTGACTTCTTGTCGCCTATTCTAAGCAGTAGGCTATCTCGCCTTCCAGAATAGTCAGCCTTGGTCAGAATTCAAGCCATATCAAATAAATCCATGATGAAATTCAACCTGTTGAAGCCTCAGATGTTCAAGGCTGTTCATCAAGGAGGAAAAATACCAAAATATTTCAGGTGGGGTAACTATTTGACATTCCCTCCATCTGGACATCTCAGTGGCCAGATAGTTTTTCATTTTTGTCAATTCCAATTTAGAACCCTTAAAAGAAACACTCAGGCACCTGTACCAATGGAGCGGGGGATGGCATGTGTTTATTCACAGTGAAAGCTGAGTTGTAAAGCTAGAAAATTTGAGATGTTTGGAGTTTTTAAATGCAAATAAAAGACTCTTTCCTGTCTGTCTGGTCGCCTCCTCTCTCTACCCCCATATGCTGCCCCCTTTCCATGCATCCCCAGTCTGCTGTCATCTCATGCGCTTTGGTACCCAACCACCTTCAGGTCCCCACTCCATACCTATCAGTCTCTTCCTTCCAGTCTTTCCATTCCCCCATGTGTTTCCCCAGACCCCTTCTGTTAGTCTATATCCTTTGATTCTTGGCCCTCCTCTGTTTAACCCCTCCTGGATTCTTGCCCCTCTACATTTCCTAGTCTCCCTGCTCCACCTCTGGCTTGGCCCAGAATCTTTGGATTAAAAAAAAAAAAAGTTCAGTTTATGTGTTTTCCTATAATACAAGGAAGACACAATTGTAAACAATTTAGAAATGTAAACACCCAGACTTACCCATTCGCTTCCTCTTCAAACTAGGAACATGGTCATCTAAATTCTTTGCTTTTGTCCGAGACAGGGGCTGCCCAGATGACGTGGATGATGTCGGGTCCCCTTCACATATGGTGCTAGAGCAGGAGCTCCGTGTTGGGGGTGGGGGCATCTGCACAAAGACTGGAAAATGTTACACTAGGCAAACACTACCGTTCCACTTCAAAGGCTCAACGTATTTCATTGAAAGAACCCAAGAGCAAAGCTGAAGATAAACTGGATTTTGAGAGGTCTGAACACATATGCACCTGAGATGCGACTGAATAATTAGAAATTAGCATGGGCAGATTAAGCAGAGATGGGGAGGTTCAGCATAGAAACACGTAGGTGGAACAGAGGGATAATGCAACTCTAAAGGGATGTCAGAGTGGGAAGCATCACACAAAATCTTGATGTTCTCTCTGCAGTGCAGCCCCTTCTGATTCAGATGCACTATTCTTTGGCTCCTCTTTACAATGAGATAGTTCTCTTTTGAACCCCCCCTAAATGCATGAGAATTCTAAGCTCAATTTCAGGCTCACACCTCTCACATACAAATACTTACACAAAGTACCCTGCCACCTTTACTGTGTATTCTTTTGAAGGCACCATCTTACACTTAGCCCTCAACTTCAAAATCCCTTTGTCTATCAGCCGTGCCTCACTATACAATACATGCAAACTGTATTGTACTAGGACAGGTTTCAGAGTAGCAGCTGTGTTAGTCTGTATCCGCAAAAAGAAAAAAAAAAAAGAGTACTTGTGGCACATCCAGCAATGCCCCTCTGCCATGTACACTGGCCAAACGGGACAGTCTCTACGTAAAAGAATAAATGGACACAAATCCGACATCAAGAATTATAACATTCAAAAACCAGTCGGAGAACACTTCAATCTCTCTGGTCACTCAACTACAGACCTAAAAGTCACAATTCTTCAACAAAAAAACTTCAAAAACAGACTCCAACAAGAGACTGCTGAATTGGAATTAATTTGCAAACTGGACACCATTAAATTAGGATTGAATAAAGACTGGGAGTGGATGTGTCATTACACAAGGTAAAACTATTTCCCCACGTTTATTCTCCCCGCCCCACTGTTCCTCACACGTTCTTGTCAACTGCTGGAAATGGCCCACCTTGATTATCACTACAAAAAGTTTTTTTTTCCCCTCTCCTGCTGGTAATAGCTCACCTTACCTGATCACTCTTGTGACAGTGTGTATGGTAACACCCATTGTTTCATGTTCTCTGTGTATATAAAATCTCCCCACTATATTTTCCACTGCATGCATCCGACGAAGTGAGCTGTAGCTTATGAAAGCTTATGCTCAAATAAATTTGTTAGTCTCTAAGGTGCCACAAGTACCCTTTTTCTTTTTGTGTATTGTACTAATGAATCAAAGAGCTCCTTATTGCCAAGGCAGAAGCCAAAGTCTTAAAGATGTCCTAGTACCAAAAGGGCAAATGATAGGATGATTTCTGGCCTGTGCTATTAACCGCTGCTGCTTCTTGTTTTACATACCAGCCAGCTTGGACCTAAATAATTTGAGAGTCTGATCAATTTTTCCAAACTTGTGTCCTCTCCATGTGGGTGACGAGGGGAGTCTTCAGTTTCACTCCCTCATTTTATATACCAGACCAAAGCAACTTGTGTGTAGGGGCAGTCTGGATGAGAGGAAGCCAAGAGAAGAGTTTTTTCTTTTGAAATCTAACCCAGAAGGCCCTGTAGCTTGGTGACACATACCCTGCCCTTCCCTGGGAGGGCTGACCCTCAGAATCCTGAGTAAAGGAGATCACTTAAGAATGATGAGATCCTCTGCCCAACCCTCCTACGGCTGAGTGCGCTTAGTCCCTGACACCCTTGGACAAAAACTCCTTCTTTGTCTCACGATACCTACGATTTTTTGAGCAATACGGAAGAACTGGGAGACCTCTCTGACTGCATGCCCGAAGTTGTTGTAAACCTTGACATAAGGGCGGACCCAGGAGGGCAGCTGGGATCTTACATCATTGTTCACGAACCTGTGGAGAATTGGAAAATGGGAGAAAAATCCTTCAAACAGCTCCACTAAATTAATCTCTCAGCAGAAGGCAGCTTTGAACATCTCACCTGAGGAGCTGGAACAGGGATGTGACTGAAGTCTTAAGAGCATACGCAGGCACTGTCCTCAACATTACAAATTAAATTTCATAGTATGACTATCCCCCTACTCCTGGGAACGCCAAGCTAAGCAGGAACAGTAAAAACAAGCAGCTGGGTAAGAACACAAAAAAAACTGGGATTGATCTTTGTCCCCAGGAGAGCAAGAGTTTGCTGGAGCCAGGGTGCTTGTGTCTATCATTACAGCTCTGTACTGAACTGCAGCATTCCTGCTAGGTACCAGTTATATCATGCTATCCAAAACTGACTGGCAGCTGCATAAGGTAGAAAAATGCTCATTAGGGATTGGGCTGAAACCACCACATTTATTTCCACTTGTGAACACAGACCAGGATTCATACCCAGATGTCCAGAAACGAAAGGCTCATTCTAAACCAGTGGTTCTCAAACTTCTGTATTGGTGACCCCTTTTACACAGCAAGCCTTTGAGTGCAACCCTCCTTATAAATTAAAATCACCTTTTTTATGTTTAATTCTATTATAAATGTTGGAGGTGAAGCGGGGTTTGGGGGTGGAGGCTGACACCTTGCAACCCCCCCACGTAATAACCTCAACCCCCTGAGGGGTCACAACACCCAGTTTGAGAACCCCTGTTCTAGACTATTAGTTCTCTGGGTCATCTACCCCATAATCATTAATACCAATCTTGAGATAGTTTATTTTTGAATGAAACTTTATTGTACCCAGCAGTTTCTGGGGGCTAAGTCAGAAATAAACAAAAGGAAGAAGCTGCACGTATTGCAGAGACCAGATGAAAGGCCTGAGAAACAAAACATTATGGAAAAATGGAAATAACTAGCTTTCTTCTTCAGAAACCGAAATTGGAAGCATGCAAAATACAAAGTGGTGATTCAGTCTCATCCTTAAGAAACAAGGAGGCTATGCATGCTCAGAAGGTTCACAACATAGCTACCAACACACCTTGCAGAATGGTCAAACAAAACTCCTACTCAAGCTGACATGTTTCATGGCAATGGCAGGAATTCACTCATTTCCCAGAAACATGATTCTGTTTAGAAATACAAGTGAGATCATTTTTAGATTTTCTGGCAATATGTAACTTCTTCCTGCACCTCCCTTAAAAACTGCAATTACCATTCACTCTCTTCTCAAAATTAGTGTAGAGCAGGACTGGAACCCCTGTATTCACATAACTTGTATTAGCATTTCAGGAAGTTCTAACTCCTGGCATGAAAAGGGTTAAAAAAGATGTATAAAAAAAGATATATACCTACACACACCCACAAATAATCACTGACAGCTTATTCTGCATCTGCTAATACTACTAACAGCCTCATGGAGGGAACAGGGAGAAAGAAGCTTTTGGGAAAGGAGAACAGAGGATGAACATGTATGTTATTTTCACTTATTAGGGAGAATGATACCTAGCTCGCTGATGATCACTAATGACCTGTAGTCTTCAACTAGTCATACTAATGCACTTATACACACAGTACATACAGTTGTGTGTGTTGGATACAGGAATGTTGGCACATACATCGTTTATAGTCCATCCTACTCAACAGAAGAATTCACCTGTGGTCACAAAGGAAAATGGCACCATAGTCCTGGCGATGTCTGATAACCCTGCCGATGGCCTGGTTCACAGCCCGGGAAGCCTGCTGCCGATACCACTCACGCCCGGATAAATACTAAAAAGGGGGTGGGGGGGGAGAGAGAGAGAGAGAGAGGATCAGGCTAGTCAAATACAGTAACTCCTCGTTTAATGTTGTAGATATGTTCTTGAAAAATGTGACTTTAAGCGAAACCATGTTAAGAGAATCCAATTTCCCCATAAGAATTAATGTAATAGGGGAGGTTAGGTTCCAGGGATTTTTTTCGTTGCCTGCTAGTACAGTACTTTGTCCACTACTTGTGGGATTCTCTGGAAGAGCAGCTTGTTGGAGCTAGCAGGTGGGGGCCTGGAACCAGGGTGGGCTGGTAGCCCCCCATCAGTTCCCCTCCACACACTCCCCAGAGCCTCCTGCTTGTTGACGGGCCCCGCGGATCAGCGCCTCCCCCCTCCTCCTGAACATGGTGAAACAACTGTTTTGCCACATTCAGGAGAAGCGGGGAGGGAGAGGGGAGGCTGCGAGCCGTGTCCTTGCTCCTCTCCCTCCCGAACCTCCTGAATGTGGCGAAACAGCTGCTTCGCTGCGTTTGGGAGAGGGAAGGCGCTGATCCACAGGGCTCGCAGGTGGGAGGCACTGGAGGGTGGTAGCGGAGAGGAACTAGTAGGAAGGCTGCCGGCCCACCCTAGTTCCGAGCCCCCACCCGCAAAACAACGTTATAAGCAAACATTGCACAACTTTAAAGGAGCATGATAGATCAGCGATGTAACAACACTAACTGGGATGACGTTAAGTGAGGAGTTACTGTAGGTAAAATGTATTCTCAATGCAGGGGCTACTTGTCTCAGTCTCCAATACATGCTATAAATGTATCTCTAAAAGGTGAGAGTCAAGTGCAAGACTCTGCTAAAGCAATCACTTCCAACTAAACTGAGGCACTACTAATTGCTATGGAACCCTGACCTAATTATTAATAAATAATTCTGCTGTTTAGCCACCGAACTAGGGCTTATAGCCCTGGCCCTACAATGCACTTACCATGTTATTAAATAGCCAACAGCTTCCCTGCAAGATGATAAAGAAAAATTACATAGTATTTGTACTCAAACCTGAAAGGCTGCCAAACAGAGCCCACTACACCCATGGTTTATACGTCCTGACCAATTTCCTTTCGGGCCAAATATTCCCTTTGAAAGATAAATGGTTACCATGCATTCAAGCTATTTTGACTGCAACTGTGTTCAAAAAATGTATGGCCTGTGTTTGATTATAACTAAGGATTGCTCACCTTCTTGGAACTGTTGTTCTTCAAGATGTGTTGTTCATGTCCATTCCCATCAGGTGTGTGCACGCCACGTGCATGTCGTTGGAAAGTTTTTCCCTTAACAGCTCTCATCGGGTCAGCTGTGGAGCCCCCGGAGTAGCACTCAATATACGACCCTGCCGACCCGACCACCCTTCAGTTCCTTCTTGCTGGCTACTCCAGCAGAGGGTAAGGAGGGTGGGCACTGGAATGGACGTGAACACCACATCTTGAAGAACAGTTACGAGAATGTGAGTAACCGTTTTTTCTTTGAGTACTTGTTCACCTCGATTCCAATCAGGTGACTCCCAAGCTCTCCCCTGGAGATGGGGTCAGAGCTAAGGAATTGTTAACTGGAGCACCGCTCTGCCAAATGCAGCATCATCTCTGGCATGCTGGGCGATAGCATAGTGAGTGGTAAACGTATCCACCAATGACCAGGTTGCAGCTCTGCAGATCTCCTGAATGGGGATCTGGGCCAGGAAAGCAGCTGACAAGGCTTGCACCCTTGTGGAGTGTGCCGTAATAGCCAGGGCTGGGACCTGAGCCAGTTCGTAGCATGTGTGGATGCAGTCTGTGATCCAGGAAGAAATGCCTTGGGAAGAGACCAGGAGCCCTTTCATCTGGTCTGCCACTGCCACAAATAATTGGTTTGATTTCCTAAAAGGCTTAGTGTGCTCGATGTAGAATGCTAGTGCACGCCAGACACCCAGTGAGTGAAGCCTCTGCTCCCATACCAGTATGAGATTTGGGATAAAAGACTGGTAGAAAAATGTCTTGGCTACTATGAAATTGGGACACCACCTTGGGAAGGAAGGCTGGGTGAGGCTTGAGTTGAACCTTGTCCTTGTGGAAGACCATGTAGGGCGGATCGGAGGTTAGTGCTTTTAACTTGGACACCCTCCTAGCTGATGTAATGGCAACCAGGAATGCCACCTTCGAAGATAAATATAAAAGGGAACAAGTCACCAGCCGTTAGAAAGGGGCCTCCATTAGTCTTGAGAGGGCCAGATGAAGGTCCCATGCAGAGACAGGTTGTCGAGCCTGTGGATATAATCTTTCCAGGCCCTTGAGGAAACGCCCAACCATGGGGTTGGCGAACATGGAACACCCAAAGTCTCCTGGGTGGAAGGCAGAGATAGCAGCGAGGTGCACCCTGATGGATGATCCTGTCAGGCCCTGGTGTTTCAGGTATAAGAGGTACTCCAGAACAAGTGGTATAGGTGTCTGGAGTGGAGGTGTGCGATGCTGGGCACACCAGCAAGTGAACCTTTTCCATTTAGCTAGGTAAGTGGCCCTGGTAGATGGTTTTCTGCTGCCGAGAAAAACCTTCCTTACAGATTCCGAGCACCAGAGCGCCATTGGGTTTAACCATGAAGCTTCCAAGTTGTGAGATGGAGGGACTGGAGGTCTGGGTGGAGAAGGCGACCATGGTCCTGTGTGATCAGATCAGGGTAAAGTGGTAACACGATTGGGGTGTCCACTGACAGCTGCAGAAGTGTGGTGTACCAGTGTTGGCAGGGCCACGCTGGGGCCAGGAGAATTACCTTCGCCTTGTCTCTGGGGATCTTGACAGAACCTTGTGCACAAGTGGAACCCGATGGAAAGGCATACATGAGGCATTCTCCCCAGGGTAGCAGGAACGCTTCCAAGATGGAACCCGGGCTGTGCTTCTGGAAGGAGTAGAACGTTGGGCACTTTCTGTTGCTCTGGGTGGCCAACAGAGCAACCTGGGGAAACCCCCATCTTTGGAAGATGGAATGCATGACATCCGAATGGATGGATCACTCGCGGTGGTGGAACGATCTGCTGAGGTGATCCGATAGTTTGTTCTGCACTCCGGGAGACAGGACACCTCCAAGTGAATGCAGTGGGCTTTGCAGAACTCCCATAGCTGGAGGGCTTCCCAGCATAGCGGGGAGGAACAAGGTCCACCCTGTCTGTTGATGTAGAACATGGCAGTGGTGTTAACAGTCATCGCTGCCACGCACTGGGCCTTGTAGTTGGGACAGGAAGGTGTGGCAGGCTGGCCGCACTGCTCTGAGTTCCTTGATACTGATAGGGAGTGAGAGCTTGTCCTGCGACCATAGATCCTGTGTTTGGAGATCTCCCAGGTGAGCGCACCAACCCAGAGCTGACTCATCCGTTACTAGAGACCGAGAGGGCTGTGGACTGTTGAAGGGAACTCCTTTGCAGACTGTCCGAGGGTCAAGCCACCGACAGAGGGACTTGAGTACGTGATCTGGCACTGACACCACTGAGACTAGGCTGTCTAGTGTTGGGTGACAGGTTGAAGTGAGCCACGCTTGGAGTGGTCTGAGCCTCAGACTGGCATGTCTGACCACGCAAGTTCAGGCTGCCAAGGAGACTCATGCATCCCCTTGCTGTCGTGGTGGGGTATCGCCTGAGGCTTTGGATGTCTGTCATCACTTGGAATCAGGCCTCAGAGGATTGCCCTTGCTTGTACCGAGTCCAGCACCACCCCGATGAATTCTATTCTTTGGGTCGGTGACAAGGTTGACTTGTTCACGTTGAGGAGGAGTCCCAGCCTCTCGACAGTAGCTCTGACTAGTCAGACTTGAGACTTCACCTGCTCCCTGGAATGCCCCCGTAACAGCCAGTCATCAAAGTGGGGATATACCTGAACCTGCCTCCTGCGAAGAAAGGCTGTGATCAGTGATATGGTGGAGACCTGGGAGGCTGTCAATAGGCGGAATGGGAGGACCGTGAACTGATAATGTTTGTGGTTGACCACAAATGGCAGAAATGGTCTGTGAACAGGCCGAATGGATATGTGAAAATACGTGTCCTTCATGTCGAGGGCGGTGTACCAGTCTCCCGGATCCAAGGAGGGGATGATCGTGCTCAGGGAGACCATGTGGAGCTTCAGCTTGACCAAGAACTGGTTGAGTCCTTGCAGGTCTAAAATGGGTCTGAGACCCCCATTTGCTTTGGGGATTAGGAAATAACAGGAGTAGAATCCCCTGCCCCTTAGCTCCAGAGGAACCTCGTCCACTGCCCCCATGGCGAGGAGTGACTGCACCTCCTGGATAAGGAATTGCTCATGAGAAGGGTCCCTGAAGAGGGACAGGGAAGTGGGATGGGAGGGAGGGGAGGAGCAGAATTGGAGAGAATATCTCACCTCTACCATGAGAAGGACCCAGCAGTCTAATGTTATTTGGGACCAGGCACCGTAGAAGTGGGATAGCTGATTCAGGAAGCACTGGGAAGGATCCGGTGTAGCGGTGGGTACGCCATCCCCGGGCATCCCTTCAAAAGGCCTGGTTTGAGCCGGACGAAGATTTGGCTGGGCCCTGGCCCTGATGGGGAGGTGCAACAGTCTGTGCCTGCCATTCTTACCCCTCCTTCTATAGAAGTCCTGTCTTTGAGGAGGGTAGGAACACTGCTGTTGAGGCTGTGGTTTGAAGTATTTACGCTGGGTAGCAGGAGTATGCATACCCAGGAACTTCAAGGTCACCCAGGAATCCTTCAGGCTGTGCAGCTTGGAGTCTGTCTTCTCTGAGAATAATCCTGTGCCCTCAAACAGCAGGTCCTGAAGGGTTTGCTGCACTGCAGAGGGCAGCCCAGGTGCCTGCAGCCATGAACCCCTTCTCATGGCTAAACCTGATGAGAAGGTGTGTGGGGGAGAGTCCGCCGCATAAAGGAAGGTTCGTGCCACCACACTCTCTTTGTCAATAATGGCCATGAATTCAGTTCTGGAGTCTGATAAAGTAGGTTTCTTAAACTTCAACATGGAGGCACACAAGTTGAAGTTTATCTGTTGAGGATAGCTTGTTGATTAGCTATCCTCTGCTGCAGGGCCCCCGTTGAGTAGACCTTCCTACCAAAAAGGTCTCATCTTTTAGACTCCTTGGATTTTGGAGTCGGTCCCTGTTGGCCCTGCCTCTCCTTCTCATTGACCGCAGTCACTACTAGGGAGGAGGGCTGCGGTGTGAGAACAAGTACCCATATCCCTTGGATGGGACAAAGTACTTGCACTCCATGCCCCTCGCCATAGGCGGGATCAATGCCAGGGTCGCCACAGCGTTTTGATATGGCTCTGTATAGTTTTCATCAGGGGCAGAACTATCCTGGAGGAACCCTCTGGCATCAGGCTACCGACCATGGGGTCCACTGGTTAGATAACCTCTTCTGCCTGCAATCCCTTGTTGCAAGCGATTCTGTGCAAGAGGTCCTGGTGTGCACGGTGATCTATCAGGGGATGTCCCAAGGCCGAAGTCCCCGCAATCGCCTCATCTGGGGATGAGGATGAGGAGGCTAGAGGCAGTACTGGGTTCTCCTGATCATTCAGCTCTCTAGCGTCCCTCTGGTCAGCGCCTGTGGGCTCTGCGCTGAATGTAGTTGCGGCAGCAGTAGTCTGTCCGGCTGTCACTGTGGCTACTTCGACGACGTCCTGGATGGACTGTGGGTCCTGTCCTGGCGTCCATTCCGATCCCTGAGATGCCGGGCAATTTTTATATGGCTGTGGTGCTTGGGTTTCAGAGACTACCAAGCAAGAGCCACAGGAAAATGAGCCCTGGACCTGGTGCTAAGCCCAGGGAGTCCAGAATGGTCACTGAGGCTGCAGCTGCCAATGTGGAGGCCATGCTGCTGGTGCCTCACTTCTGTGCCGATTCGACCTGTGCCTGGTGCAGCATGAATAAAAGGAGTCCCCATCCGAGTCAGACAACACTGATCTAGATCATCACAGCGGCGTCGAGCGGTGCTGAGCAGAGGAACGGTGCTGCTCCGCCAGTGCCGGGGACCCATGCATGGGGTCCCGAGCTGGGGAATGGTGCCTCAATGATGATGAACCCGAGCAGTGCCGAGGTGAACGGTGCCATGTCACAGAAGGTGATTGCCGCATCATGGCCAGCTTGCCTCTAGATGGTGCCGGATGCGGTGCCATAGAGGCTTGTCCCTGATAGCCAGAAGTTGAGGGGCCGTCATTGCTATTAGGTCATAGAATCATAGAATATCAGGGTTGGAAGGGACCCCAGAAGGTCATCTAGTCCAACCCCCTGCTCGAAGCAGGACCAATTCCCAGTTAAATCATCCCAGCCAGGGCTTTGTCAAGCCTGACCTTAAAAACCTCTAAGGAAGGAGATTCTACCACCTCCCTAGGTAACGCATTCCAGTGTTTCACCACCCTCTTAGTGAAAAAGTTTTTCCTAATATCCAACCTAAACCTCCCCCACTGCAACTTGAGACCATTACTCCTCGTTCTGTCATCTGCTACCACTGAGAACAGTCTAGAGCCATCCTCTTTGGAACCCCCTTTCAGGTAGTTGAAAGCAGCTATCAAATCCCCCCTCATTCTTCTCTTCTGCAGGCTAAACAATCCCAGCTCCCTCAGCCTCTCCTCATAAGTCATGTGTTCTAGACCCCTAATCATTTTTGTTGCCCTTCGCTGGACTCTCTCCAATTTATCCACAACCTTCTTGTAGTGTGGGGCCCAAAACTGGACACAGTACTCCAGATGAGGCCTCACCAATGTCGAATAGAGGGGAACGATCACGTCCCTCGATCTGCTCGCTATGCCCCTACTTATACATCCCAAAATGCCATTGGCCTTCTTGGCAACAAGGGCACACTGCTGACTCATATCCAGCTTCTCGTCCACTGTCATCCCTAGGTCCTTTTCCGCAGAACTGCTGCCTAGCCATTCGGTCCCTAGTCTGTAGCGGTGCATTGGATTCTTCCATCCTAAGTGCAGGACCCTGCACTTATCCTTATTGAACCTCATCGGATTTCTTTTGGCCCAATCCTCCAATTTGTCTAGGTCCTTCTGTATCCTATCCCTCCCCTCCAGCGTATCTACCACTCCTCCCAGTTTAGTATCATCCGCAAATTTTCTGAGAGTGCAATCCACACCATCCTCCAGATCATTTATGAAGATATTGAACAAAACCGGCCCCAGGACCGACCCTTGGGGCACTCCACTTGATACCGGCTGCCAACTAGACATGGAGCCATTGATCACTATCCGTTGAGCCTGACAATCTAGCCAGCTTTCTACCCACCTTATAGTGCATTCATCCAGCCCATACTTCTTTAACTTGCTGACAAGAATACTGTGGGAGACCGTTTCAAAAGCTTTGCTAAAGTCAAGAAACAATACATCCACTGCTTTCCCTTCATCCACAGAACCAGTAATCTCATCATAAAAGGCGATTAGATTAGTCAGGCATGACCTTCCCTTGGTGAATCCATGCTGGCTGTTCCTGATCACTTTCCTCTCATGCAAGTGCTTCAGGATTGATTCTTTGAGGACCTGCTCCATGATTTTTCCAGGGACTGAGGTGAGGCTGACTGGCCTGTAGTTCCCAGAATCCTCCTTCTTCCCTTTTTTAAAGATTGGCACTACATTAGCCTTTTTCCAGTCATCCGGGACTTCCCCCGTTCGCCACGAGTTTTCAAAGATAATGGCCAATGGCTCTGCAATCACAGCCGCCAATTCCTTCAGCACTCTCGGATGCAACTCGTCCGGCCCCATGGACTTGTGCACGTCCAGCTTTTCTAAATAGTCCCTAACCACCTCTATCTCCACAGAGGGCTGGCCATCTCTTCCCCATTTTGCGATGCCCAGCGCAGCAGTCTGGGAACTGACCTTGTTAGTGAAAACAGAGGCAAAAAAAGCATTGAGTACATTAGCTTTTTCCACATCCTCTGTCACTAGATTGCCTCCCTCATTCAGTAAGGGGCCCACACTTTCCTTGGCTTTCTTCTGGTTGCCAACATACCTGAAGAAACCCTTCTTGTTACTCTTGACATCTCTTGCTAGCTGCAGCTCCAGGTGCGATTTGGCCCTCCTGATATCATTCCTACATGCCCGAGCAATATTTTTATACTCTTCCCTGGTCATATGTCCAACCTTCCACTTCTTGTAAGCTTCTTTTTTATGTTTAAGATCCGCTAGGATTTCACCATTAAGCCAAGCTGGTCGCCTGCCATATTTACTATTCTTTCGACTCATTGGGATGGTTTGTCCCTGTAACCTCAACAGGGATTCCTTGAAATACAGCCAGCTCTCCTGGACTCCTTTCCCCTTCAAGTTAGTCCCTGGTGGCTTCAAAAGTGACTGTGATGGAGGGAGACTCCAACTCCTCCACCTGACACTGTCTGTCCCGGGAGTCGCTGGGCACTGGACTCAACGGTCCCCTCCGGGGAACAGAAGTCAGCGGCACTGACTCCTGGTACATGGGTGCTGCGTGCTCCTTTGTGTGATGCACTGCTCTTCCGCCTGGCGCTACCTTCGGCACTGGGCAACAACCCCTGTCCATCTTCTTGTGCCACCTGTGCGACACTTGTGAGTGCGAGCGGTGCCTGGCTGACTGCGCCACTTCTGGTGCCGGGGACCGCCGGTGCCGAGGGTCTAGAGTCAGAGTCTTTCCTCAGTGCCGTGTCACGCACTGAGGCTGGGGCACTCTGCACCGACATGGTTAGTGTCAGATCCCGGCGCTCTGTGGCGAGTTGCGGACAGAGAGCGGACTCCATCAGAAGTTGTTTCAGCCAGAAATCCCGCTCTTTCTTTGTCCTAGTGCCGAAAGACCTGCAGATTTTGCACCTGTCTGTTTGGTGTTCTTCCCCCAGACACTTCAGGCATGTGTCCCGGGGGTCACCCATTGTCATGGGCTTCCTGCAAGGTTTAAGCCCTTGGCCCCAAGGCCTGCCCCAGAGCCGAGGGAAGGTAAGGGATAGGGGAGAACCCTGCACACTAACCCAAACTATTATATATACTATGTACGGGAAATTAGAAAGGAACTACTAACTAAAACCTAGACTGAACTACAGACTAAAGAAGAAAGCTAAGGGAACTGAAGGGGGGTCGGGTCATGTCAGCAGGATCATATATTGAGTGCCATGAAAGTACCACTCCAGCGGACTCCACAGCTGACCTGATGCAAGCTGCTATGGGAAAAACTTTCCGACAACCGTGCATGCAGTGTGCGCACACCTGATTGGAACTGACGTGAACAAGCACTCGAAGAAACACCACAGTAATCAGAAATGGAAAAACCGATTACTAACCTGAACTGTCACTGCTGTTCTTTGAGATGTGTTACAAATGTTCTTTGTACTTCAGGTGCGTGTGCATCCTGTGCACCAGGTGCACACACATTTGAAATGAAACAGACACGTGCAATCTCTTGAAGATTTTAAAATTTCAGCACAACCCAGCAGGAGGTGGGGGGTGGGAGAGGGATGTCAAATTTGTATGGTTTGATAGAGAAGGTTTGCTTACTGTGGCCCCACAGAGATGGGAAGAAAAGCCATATGCTGGAGAGAGAAACTATGAGACAATGGACTGACAAAAAAAAATTGCGAAAAGCTCCCCAATCTTACCTGTGCCCCTGAACCTTGTCTTTTCATTTCATCCAGGAATTGCATCTTTAAAACGACTCTTGGTTCCATGCGAGGGGGAAATGGAAGCCCAGTGATAACAACACCTCGTCCGTTCATGTCTGCAAAGTCCAAGCCTTCGCTGGCCTGAAGATGAACAGTGTTTTCAATCACTAACAGGGAATTAAGTGACATTTCAGAGCAGTTCAGGGGTTGTGGCCTCTCTGCCTTAAATTACACATCTAACAATTGTAGTTTGAGAGTAGTGGAAACAGTTTGAACTGGATTCCTTACTTTTATTGCCAGGGCTTTAATCCCAGTGGTTTCCTACTATCAGGCCTTGACTGAGTAACACATCAGCCAAAGGGTGTAAGGAGAGGTTTCTCTGCTTCTCTCCTATTTCTATGGTTTCTGAGATAGTAAGCATTTCAACCATCTTCCTGATTTCCAGGCTGTGTTGCCAGCACACCCATTACTGATTATACATTTCATGCCTGAACTTTCTGAACTGTCCATACACCAGAGGATGACCATTAATAACAACATCTATTTACGAAAAGTGTGCTCCTCTTCTGGGGCACCGGATAACAAAATGCAATATAATAAGACCTCCCTCAACATTCAAAACAAATACAACCATTTCAAGAGGATCAAATTCACTTCTAAAAATAGGAAAATATGACTGTAAAACCACCAAAACTGGCAGAAGGGCTCCAGGGCAGGCACTGGGTTTGAACTAACTGTAGCTTGTCTTTTGAAATTGAACAACATTTCAGACAGTTGTTTCTCTATAACGTTAGGCTGACAGAAACATTTGTCAAGTCTTGTCTAATACAGTCCTTCTCATACAGTAATACAGCTCTTCTGTGAGCAACCAAAAGAAAATGTAGGAAAGTATGAAGCTGTTCCCCTTTGAGATCATGCACATATCACCAGTAAAACCATGAATGACAGACCTGTGCACTTAAAATAGAGTTGGAAAAACTATGCATTCTGCATTTGCTCCTTTATTTCACTAGGGCTTTTTTATACATGTGATTATTTATAGATACTACTTTTAGCAAAGAGAAATGTGTGTGTTTGTGTATCTGGAAGAGCTACAGTCTTCCAAATGCAAAAAGCAGCTTGCTCTCAAGAATGACAAACTCTGTTCTACATTACCTTTCCCCGACATACTGCCAAGAAAGTAGCTCCACTAGACTTGGGACAGACAATCTTATCATAATATGCATCCATGATCTACAAGACAAACAGGTTAGGTAAGAGGAAGAGAGAAAACCACCTCCTTTACACACACACACACACACCAAACAAACTTGTACATCATAACAAGTTTGACTCACATACTAAGACTCAAGATGTAGTTAACTAGGCTTAGTGTCAGTTTCCTTACTGGAGTACAACTATGGATGTTAGAAATATTTGCTTTCCAAAAGCCCCTTATTACAAAGAATCCCACAGATCTTCTGATAGACATAACATTGTGATGTCACCTATCTCTGAAGGGAAAACAAAGAACTTATTATGCAGTACTCTTATGACTCCACATTGGCAAAAGAGGAAAACAAAACAAAGCAATTTGAGGTTATCATTTACTCTAATCGTTGTCAAGGAGAAGAGGCTGGAATTCAGTAGAACAGAAAAAGGTGGGGAAAGCGTGAGGAATTTCAACAAATTAAGAAACTAGAAGGATATTAATTTAAAACTTTAATTCTGCTTTCTATAAACTATTTATGATGCAAGCAGCACATGCCAGAACTGCATCAATATCTGTAAATATGAAGAATTATATTTTAAGAATTTCACTAGGTACAGAAAAATAAGTCTGTTGCCACCGAGGCCTAAACAACTAAAACTTACGTTGACTTAGCAACATCACTCTGAGCTGTGAAAAATTTCACACCCTGTGTGACGTAGTGAGGTCAACCTAATCCCCGCTGTAGACAAAGCTAGGTTGATACAAGAATTCTTCTTTTGACCTAGCTACCACCTTTCAAGGAGGTGGATTTATGACAGTGATGGAAAAGTGTAACAATAATTTTAGTCAGGAACTTCCTTTAACATGTTGCAGGCTTATTGCCTCAGAAGAGGCAATGATTCAGTGAAAATTGGTACAAACTGTACCTAGCAACTTCCTGGATTACTAACATGTTCTTTCCTCTACACTTTAAACTGCTGGTATTAAAAACTTTTGTTATCTTTTTAGCAGAGGAATACTTATCTGTAATCTAATCTTGTTTCTAAATTAGGTCACTTCCATCTAATTTTGTAAGGGTTTCTTTTTCAATAAACAATTTAAACAGTAAACAATATTGTACACTATCAGCCAAGGGAGTGCACGTAACAAGGAAGTTGTCCTTTCTTTCCCCTCTTGACAAATGGCCAGCCCATGATCGTAACAGCTGTACAGTTGGCCTCCTCTTCCCTTACAACTATTGAATACCAGTATCTTCCAGCAACGCAGTCCCAAGAAACACTAAACAAAGCTGTGCCAAGGTGAGAGAGACACACACAGTAGTATTTATACTGAGAAGTGGTAGAAGTTTCTCTTCCCTGTACTAGAGTTTATTGCCTTCTTTCTTTGGTTGCTTCTAAACCATCCCCGCTTGCGTGTGTCCGTGCGCGCCTTGGAAACGCATTAGATTTTTAAATTTTTTAATTTTTTTTTTAAAGATTCCAATGGAAGGATACACTTCAGAGCCCCTTTACACCCAAACCAAGCCCCCTGGGAATTACTGGGTTCAATACTGGTGTCAAAGAAAAGGAATATGCCATTGGTGTGATGTTCCAGTTGAGTTGCTTCCACAAAGGCAGACCCTGATGGCGCCCCTGATTACCATAATTGAGGTCCTGGGCAAAAGTTAGTGTTGCCCAGACAAGATAAAAGCATTCTGAATAAAAAAAAACACACTTCTATGTTACCGTGAAAATGTTCATAATCAAAAACAAACTGAAACAAGTTGGAGGGAAATGGCCTGCAGAATATCCAAGAGCTTGATTTCCAATGCTGACTGCTGCACTGACAGACTGAGCTAAGCTTTTCTACGCTATCCTTCACCATGGTGTATAAGTAGGGTGACCAGAAAGCAACTGTGAAAAAACGTCACAGGGAGTGTGGGGTAATAGGTGCCTATATAAGAAAAAATCCCCAAAACGGGACATCTGGTCACCCTATGTCTAAGCACGTGGTACTAATATCCGAAGCGCAGGCAGATTTCAAACCATGACTATATTAGCACTGGTTTACACTACAAGTTTAGGTTGAATTTAGCAGCATTAGATTGATTTAACCCTGCACGTGGTCCACACGATGAAGCCATTTTTGTTGACTTAAAGGGCTCTTAAAATCTATTTCTGTACTCCTCCCCGACGAGGGGATTACCACTGAAATCGATATCACAAGGTCGAATTTGGGGTAGTGTGGACACAATTCGACGGTATTGGCCTCCGGGAGCTATCCTAGAGTGCTCCATTGTGACCGCTCTGGACAGGACTTTCAACTCAGATGCACTAGCCAGGTACACAGGAAAAACACCGGGAACTTTTGAATTTCATTTCCTGTTTGGCCAGCATGGCGTAACCATGCAGAGCTCATCAGCAGAGGTGACCATGCAGTCCCAGAATCGCAAAAGAGCTCTAGCATGGACCGGATGGGAGGTACCGGATCTGATCGCTGTATGGGGAGACGAATCCGTGCTATCAGAACTCCGTTCCAAAAGACGAAATGCCAAAATATTTGAAAAAAATCTCCTAGGGCATGAAGGACAGGGGCTATAACAGGGACCCGCAGCAGTGCCAAGTGAAAATTAAGGAGCTCAGGCAAGGCTACCAAAAAACCAAACAGGCAAACGGCCACTCCGGCTCAGAACCCCAGACATGCCACTTCTATGATGAGCTACATGCAATTCTAGGTGGTGCCCCTTCCACTACCCCACCCCTGTACATGGACTCCTGCAAGGGGGGAGTCTCATGCAACTGGGATGAGGATTTTGGGGACGAGGAAGATGATAATGAGGAGGAGGATGAAACCACTCTCTCCGACAGCCAGGAACTGTTTATCACCCTGCAGCCAATACCCTCCCAAGATGGGCTTCCGGACCTTGAAGGTAGAGAAGGCATCTCTGCTGAGTGTATCTTTGTAAATAAAATACGTGGTTTAAAAGCAAGCGTGTTTAATGATTAATTTTCCCTGAAGACTTGGGATGCATTCGCAGCCAGTACACCTACTGGAAAAGTCTGTTAACGCATCTGGGGATGGAGCAGAAATCCTCCAGGGATATCTCCATGAAGCTCTCCTGGATGTACTCCCAAAGCCTTTGCAAAAGGTTTCTGGGGAGGGCAGCCTTATTCCGTCCTCCATGGTAGACACTTTACCATGCCAGGCCAGGAGCACGTAGTCTGGAAACTTTGCATAAAGCATGGCAGCATATGATCCCGGTGTTTGCTGGCACTCAAGCAACATCCATTCTTTATCTCTCTGAGTTATACTCAGGAGAGTGATATCATTCATGGTCACCTTGTTGAAATAGGGGAATTTTATTAAGGGGACATTCAGAGGTGGCCATTCCTGCTGGGCTGTTTGCCTGTGGCTGAAAAGAAATCATCCCCGCTTTTAGCCTTGTGGTGGTGGGGGGCCCTATTCACACTGAGCTGTTCGCGTTTGGCTGGCAGAGATCTTCCCTGATACTAGTCACGCGGTGGGTGGAGGGGTGATCATCCCAGAGAATTGTGTGTGGGGGGAAGGGTATTTGGGTTTGTCCTGCACGTTAACCCGAAAACCACAGCCCCTTCTTTTAAATAGCTAACCCAACGGGTGCTTGGTATGGGAAAGGAGGGCGCTGCTGTTTGAAACGATTCACCGTGAAAGAGTCTACCCATTGTTTTCTAAAATGTGTCTTTTTAAATACTACTCTCCTTTTTTTCCTCCTGCAGCTGCAAATGTTTCAACACTCCCCTGATCATCTCCGTCCCAGAGGCTAGCGCAGATAAGGTGGCAAAAAAAAAACAAAAAACCACACACTCGCAATAAAATGTTCTCTGAGCTCATGCAGTCCTCCCCGCACTGAAAGAGCTCAGCAGAATGCATAGAGGCAGACAATTGCAGAGTCCAGGAAAGCAGAAAATGACTGTGAGGAGAGGTGGTGGGAGCAAGATGATAGGAGGCAGGAGGCAATGCTAAGGCTACTGGAGGATCAAACTGATATGCTCCGGCGTACGGCTGAGCTGCAGGAAAGGCAGCATGAGCACAGACCACCACTGCATCCGCTGTGTAACCGCCCACCATCCTCCCCAAGTTCCATAGCCTCCTCACCCAGACGCCCAAGAATGCAGAGGGGGGGGGGCCCCTCCAGGCACCCAACCACTCCACCCCAGAGGACTGCCCAAGCAACAGAAGGCTGGCATTCAATAAGTTTTGAAGTGCAGTGTGGCCTTGTCCTTCCCTCCTCCCCTACCCCACGCGGTGCTTCCCTCTGCCTCCACCGCTCCCAGGCTACCTTGGCAGTTATCCCCCTATTTGTGTGATGAATTAATAAAGAATGCATGAATTTGAAACAACAACAACTTTATTGCCTCTGCAGGCGGTGATCGAAAGGGGGAGGGCGGTTGGCTTACAGGGAAATAGAGTGAACCAAGGGGGCAGGTTTTCATCAAGGAGAAACAAACAGAAACTGTCACACTGTAACCTGGCCAGTCATGAAACTGGTTTTCAAAGCTTCTCTGATGCGCAGTGTGCCCTGCTGTGCTCTTCTAACCGCCCTGGTGTCTGGCTGCACGTAATCAGCAGCCAGGTGATTTGCCTAAACCTCCCACCCTGCTATAAACGTCTCCCCCTTACTCTCACAGATATCATGGAGTACACAGCAAGCAGTAATAACAATGGGAATATTTTGGTTTCACTGAGGTCTAACCGAGTCAGTTAACTGCACCAGCGCGCTTTTAAATGTCCAAATGCACATACTACCACCATTCTGCACTTGTTCAGCCTATAGTTGAAAAGCTCCTGACTACTGTCCAGGCTGCCTGTGTATGGCTTCATGACCCATGGAATTAAGGGGAAGGCTGAGTCCCCAAGGATAACTATAGGCATTTCAACATCCCCAAAGGTTATTTTCTGGTCTGGAAAGTAAGTCCCTTCCTGCAGCTGTTCAAACAGACCAGAGTTCCTGAAGATGCGAGTGTCATGTACCTTTCCCGGCCATCCCACGTTGATTTTGGTGAAACGTCCCTTGTGATCCACCAGTGCTTGCAGCACCACTGAAAAGTACCCCTTTCGGTTTATGTACTGGCTGCCAGGGTGGTCTGGTCTCAAGATAGAGATATGCATTCCGTTTATTGCCCCACCACAGTTAGGGAACCCCATTGCAGCAAACCCATCCACTATGACCTGCACATTTCCCAGAGTCACTACCTTTAATAGCAGCCGCTCAGTGATTGCGTTGGCTACTTGGATCACAGCAGCCCCCACAGTAGATTTGCCCACTCCAAATTGATTCCTGACTGACTGGTAGCTGTCTGGCATTGCAAGCTTCCAGAGGGCTATCACCACTCACTTGTGAGGGCTGCTCTCATCTTGGTATTCTTGCGCTTCAGGGCAGGGGAAAGCAAGTCACAAAGTTCCATGAAAGTGACCTTACTCATGCGAAAGTTTTGCAGCCACTAGGAATCATCCCAGACCGGCAACATTATGCGGTACCACCAGTTTGTGCTTGTTTCCCAGGCCCAGAATCAGCGTTCCACTACATGAGCCTGCCCCATTGCCACCAGGATGTCCAAATTGCCAGGGCCCGTACTTTGAGAGAAATTGGTGTCCATGTCCTCATCAATCTCATCACCGTGCTGCCATCGCCTCCTCGCCTGGTTTTGCAGGTTCTAGTTCTGAACATACTGCAGGATAATGCGCGAGGTGTTTACTATGCTCATAACTGCTACGGTGATCTGAGCGGGCTGCATGCTTGCCATGGTATGGCGTCTGCAAGAGAGCAGAGTTGCAGCGGAAGCGGTGGCTGACGACCAGCGAGGTGGATTCAGGAGAGCAGAGTGGCAGCGGGAGCCCATGACAGCCAACATGGAGAAATTTGCTATTGAGACAAGAGCAGGAGAGCAGAGTGGCAGCGGAAGCGGTGGTTTGATGACGACGGTTAGCAGTCCTACTGCACTGTCTGCTGAAAGCAGTATGGCGTCTGCATGGAAAAAAGGCGCGAAGCGATTGTCTGCTGTTGCTTTCACGGAGGGAGGGGCGACTGACGACATGTACCCAAAACCACCCGCGACAATGTTTTTGTCCCATCAAGCATTGGGAGCTTAACCCAGAATTCCAATGGGTGGTGGAGACTGCAGGAACTGTGGGATAGCTACCTACAGTGCAACGCTCCAAAAATTGACACTAGCCACGGTACTGTGGACACACGCCGCTGACTTAATGCGCTTAGTGGGGACACACACAATCGACTGTATAAAATCGCTTCCTAAAAAAATCGATTTCTATAAATTTGACCTAATTTCATAGTGTATAGACATATCCTTAGTGTTCAGTACACCTCGTCAGGAGAATGGAGCATGAGGGAAGGTAGAAAGGAGAAGGGAAGACCTGTATTTCAAGAGCACTTATAGCTCTCTTGGTTTTAACCCAACAGCATGCAGTTCTGTAGTCACTGCTGCAAACACATCTTTGGAGAAGTATTTAAGCATAAAAAGGAGAACTTATTAAATGAGACAGACAACACAAATGACCAACCTCTGTGAATGTTCCTTTATTCCTTGGTTCCACAAACATGGGCTTCACTTCTTCTATTCTTTTAGCAAAGTCATGTTCCTATTAAACAGAGAGCAAATAAGTCAGAAGTACATATGGGAAAGGAAGCCAAAGGTGGTGGTAACTACATGCTCCCCATCACCTATTCCTTTCTTGCCAGCCAGAGTTGGAGGCAGGGGCATGCAGCTTCCAATGGTAAGGAAATGAGCTGGGTCCAGGCAGCAGTTCCAACATGGTCAGTTTAGACAGAATGGCCAGGACACTTTCTCCATGCTTTGTGCACCTTTTCAGAAGCATGCCAGCAGTGAGGTCACCTCCTTCCTTCCAACTTGCAGACCCTTGGCGTCCAACATCTGCCTCCTGGATACTCCTCCTGCAATCTGCACTGAAAATCTGTTTCCCTGCTCCTCACCACTGCCCCATACTGGTACCTTAGAAGGGGAGCAACAGTTACCTAGGCAAATGTCCTACCACGGCTTCTGCTGGGAGACACAACTCACATTAGAAAAATGTCCCTGACTTCAGCCAGAAACAAAGACGGGGATGTGAGCAACAGCAACCAAGGAAAGATACAAACTACAACAAATTTATTATAATTAAAAATAAAATAATAACCCAACTGGGAGTTTAGTATCAAGGATTTAACTATTTACTATCAACTTTTTTTAAAACAAGCCAGTTAGGAAGTATTACCACCCTTTGGTATGTCTGTCTCAGAAAACCTCCAAATGGATTAGAATCCAACCAAAACTCAGCTTCAAGTCATTCAGGAGTCACCTCCATATTAAGGATACCAACAGTGAACAAGAGGAAAGTGAGTCAGTGATTTAGTCTAGGAAAAGTACTGCAGAAAGCTAAGGGAATAGGGTGACCATACAGCGAAGTGTGAAAAATCGGGACAGGAGGTGGGGAGTGACATAGGAGCCTATATAAGAAAAAGACCCAAATAACCAGACTGTCCCCATAAAATTGGGACATCTGGTCACCCTATAATGGAAACTATAGAAGTTGTAGCTCTCCCCTCCTAAGCCTCAGCATGCCTCAAGTGGTCCCTTCTGAAGAAAAGCTGTTTGGCTTTTGGCTCATTTATCAAGAGGACGATGGTCCAAAACTTTCCTCCAGCCTGTATAATGCTTATTTAAGCAAATGGTGAGATTTTCCTTAATGCCCCAATATTCGTTTAACTCTGTTTCCACTAAAGTCACTGGTAATGAGGAGCTAATTGAGATGATATGCATGCTTTAGAAACTTCACCTTAATCAATTAAGCAAATAAAGAGTGTACTTGACACAAGACAAGCATGACAACTGTGTACAGCAGCAGCATCTGCTCTCAGGAAAGGGCTTATAAGGAGATGCGGATCTGCTGCCACTCCAGTTCCTTCTCAACTACGAAGGCTGGAAGACTCCACAGCAGAGGAGAAGGAAGATAGTAGGTGGAGTACCCATAAGGACAAAACAACTCGAAGACTTCAAGTTACTTTACAGGTAAATAACCTCTCCTTCTTTGACTCACAAGCAGTATCTTAACATGGAGGCAGGTGCTGAGGCAGCAAATCCAAGGCAGTTTGGGGGACTGAGTCACCAAAGGTAGCATCAGCCATGGATGCAGATATCATAGCATAATGTCTGGTGAATGTGTGAACCAGGACCAGGTTGCAGCCCTGCAGATTTATGTTACGGGGACATCCTTCAGAAGGACTACAGAAGTGTTCTGAGACCTGCTGAAGCAGGTTGTCACTCTGTGAAGGGAATGTATCCCAGCAGCTTCATAGCGGGTCAAGATACAACCTGAAACCCACTTCAACAGTCTGAGTGGAAACTGGCTGTCCCTTCCTCCTTTCAACATAGAAGTCAAAGAGTCTGGCAGAGGCCCTAAAAGTCTTGGTCCTGTCGAGGTAGAGGTGAGGGCCCTCCTGATAGCTAGTGTGAGGAGACTAACTTCCTCTTTGGAGATCTGAGGCTTCAGAAAAAATACCAATAAACAAATCTCTTAGTTGATATGAAATTCTAACAAGACTTTAGGGAAGAATCGAGGATGGGGGCACAGCGTCATTCTGTCACAGCAGAAGGCAGCGTACGGTGGGTCTGCCATGAGCACCCCCAAGTTCTCCCATTCTTCTGGCTGAGGTGATAGCTATCAGAAAGGAAATTTCAAGGGAGAAGTGGAAGAGAAGACAGGTAGTCATGGGCTCAAATGTGGGGGGGAGGCGCTACCTCAAGGCATTGAGAATCAGATTACGGTCCCATGGAGGAGATGGGCTCTGGACAGGGGGAAATAATTTATAAACTTGTAAGGTATCTGGTCATGGTTGGATGGGCAAAGACTAAAACCCCTTCTATAGGTAAAAGGAAGGCTGTAACAGCAGCCAGGTGTATTCTAACTGAGCCCATGGACTTAAAGACACAAGGTCTGAGAATCAGGTCATCTAGGATCCTTAAGAGCGGAGCTTCTGAGGCTTTCAAAGAGTGATGAGAATACCAGGAATGGAAGCTTTTCCACTTTTGAGGTAAGTCTTATGAATAGTAGGTTCTGAACATTGGCCAAGCAGTTTAACTCCATGCCTGGAAACAATTAAGAAGCCAAGCCTGCAAGTTCCGAGATGAAAGGTTGAGAAGGCACCAGACCTGTGAGACAGAAGAGCCTCCCTGGGAAGGCAGAGAGGCATTACCAAGGAGAGATGAAGTAGAGCTGAGTACCTCACCTGTCTAGGCCACGAGGGCACTATCTCCAAGTGGCATGGAAGCAACAAGAACAGTCATCTCATTTAAGGTCAAACAAGTAAGTTCATCATATAATTTAGTGTCTTATTTTGAATATTTTTTCAGAAAAAAATGATTGTTCAAGGAAGTGCAAACATCATACTACATATACACATACTGAGTCCAATTCAGATTTGGGAGCCCGGACCCACAGTTATAAACATTCTGTTCATATGATACATAAAAAAAACATTAACGTTGTCAAGCACTCAGAAGTTAGGAAATCCCAGAATTAAGGTTGCCATGCAGCCTGTCTTTTGTCCCCTCTGCATTCAAATCAGGCAGTTTTCTCCTCCATGCTTCCTGAGCCCAATGGTGGGGTCATGGAGAGCACTGGATAGTCTCCCTGCTCTCTGTTCACGTTCCCAGACCCACATCCAGCATGTCCCACAACAGTCCAGAGAGCTGAAATTGTAGGGAGATTTCTGCGTGGTCTCTGGCTAGAGCAGTGGTTTTCAAACTGCGGGTCGCGACCCAGTACTGGGTCGCGGAATGTAAGGCACTGGGTTGTGGCAGCTCTGGTCCACACCACTGACCGGGCCATTAAAAGTCCCATTGGTGATGCTACCCGGCTAAGGCAGGCTAGTTCCTACCTGTTCTGACACCGCGATGCGCCCCGGAAGCAGCTAGCAGCAGGTCTGGCTCCTAGGCGGGGAGGCCACGGGGCTCCACATGCTGCCCCGCTCCGAGCACCAGCTCTGCACTCCGATTGGCTGGAAGCCAGACAATGGGAGCTGGCGGGGGAGGCTGTTGGTGCCTGTGGGCAAGAGCCACGCAGAGCTGCTTGCATGCCTACGCCTAGCAGTCAGACCTGCTGCTGGCCGTTTCCAGGGCGCAGAGTAGTCCACGGTGCCAGGACAGGCAGGAAGCCTGCCTTAGCACCCCCGCTGACTGGGAGCTGCCCGAGGTAAGCCCACACCCCAACCCCCTACCCCAGCCCTGAGCCCCCCCCCAAAACCCAGAGCCCCCTCCTGCACCCTACACCCCTCATCCCCGGCCCTACACCCCTCATTCCCGGCCCCACACCAGAGCCTGCACCTCCAGCTCAGAGCCCTGACCCCCTCCTATACCCCAACCCTTTGCCCCAGCCCACAGCCCCCTCCCACACCCTGAACCACTCATTCCCGGCCCCACCCCACAGCCCTCACTTCCACACCCCAACCCTCTGCCCCAGCCCTGAGCCCCTACCACACCCCAAACCCCTCATCCCCAGCTCTGTTGGGTCACAGGCATTAACAATTTTCTTCACTGGGTCACCAGAAAAAAAAGTTTGAAAACCACTGGACTAGAGCATAGCTAGTATGAACAGAATTTTTGGGAATTCAGCTGATAAAATCTAAGTCTCTACTGAGCATGCACAAACTGAGATTTTGCAAAGGCTAATAACTTGGTCAAATTTGTGTGGATTTTCACAGAGACACCAAAAGTAAATCCCTGAAGCAAAGGCCACCCCAAATTTCAAGTCCCTCCTCCAAAGCATGGGGGCAAGAGAACATTTCAAAAAAAAAGTTCACCAGAATTTTTTAACATGGGCAAAACAAAATATTCAACCTGAGGCAAACATCTGTCATGAAAAATTTCAGCCCAAATGGTTAAAGTTTGGCAAAGTTACTGCAACTGAAAATAGGGTCTTATAAAACTTTAACAACAGGTGGTGTTACCAGTTCCATCTCAAATACACATTAATTTGTAGAAACATGTGCCTAATTAACCAAGCTTCTTTTATCTCTTGCTCTGCTTGTTCCCCAGGTCCCTCATTGTTCAGCATTTGTTGGGTTATAACTTTAAACTTTTTTAGAGCTAGGGCTTATTTGTCTAGAGAGTGCTGTTCACAACCTTATGTCACAATATAGACAACAAATGTAAATGAACATAGAGATGCATAAAATAGGTATTTGGGCAAGTCAGTGCTAGACTGCAGTGCTGGGAACTCCAACATAAGCACCCGTGTGTGAAAATTTGTTCCAAAGCGTGTAACTACAATTCATACACAAAGAAAGAACCAACATACTCTCCAATAGTCCAGGCTTTTCTCCATGACCGGATATGAAGGGAAGAACACCAGCAGCCCATGCGGTATAATTCGCACAAGATTACCTGCAACAAGGAAGATGGTGCAGAATAACTCACCACTCAGAACACTTCCACTCCAAGACATTGGTAGGGCATTAGCCAACTTTTCTCAGGGCACAGAACTGGTCTTCCTACAACTCCCCTTCAGCTTCTTGATGGACAGGGTGGGAGAGAGAAGTGAGTGCCGGAAGAAGAGTATATCATCACCACTATTCTAGCCTGGTTAGCGTTCCACTGAACTATACTGACACAACATAGCCACGTACTACATTTGATGGAAGAGATGGAAGATACCTAATAAGTTGCCCTGTCCATCTCCATGCCAGGGTTGAATTTTTTCCTGTGGGAGGTTTTCTGGTGTTTTGTCCACTTTCCTTGGAAGTCTTCTATAATTTTATACTATACATCTCACTGACAAGAAGTTTTTCTGATATGTAACCAAAATGTTCTCAATTTCATCCCATTTTGCCTACTTAGACACCTTCATTCCACCATAAATATTTCCTTTTCCACTCAAGTTTATCTCCTTCAAAACATTTCTAGACTAAGAGATATTTAAAGGGGGAATATGTTAAGTCATCCTACACAATTCTTTTATTCTTTCCTCATAAGTCAATTTCCTCTGCTCTCTTATGATTGTAAGAATTGTACCAAGAGAGGCTTGATGAAATGGTGTCTCTGCATATGCTGCCCAATTCTGCACTGGCCTTCTTTGATACTATATAGAATAGCAAACTGATGCTTAATTTACTGTCCACTATCAACTTCTCTCCTTTTCCAATTTGTATCTCATCCTATTTTTTAACCATGTTTCCGGCGCCAGCTTTTCAGACCAGTAGATAAGCAGTTGTGTGCAAAATTGGTGTCCTAAATTGCAAGTGGTAACTAGATGCAATTACCTGGCTTTCATATGGGATTATAGTAATTGCATGTGCAAATATTTGTATGTTGAAATCACGTAATTGCACACGTAAATGTACCTAGTTGGTTACTTGGTACAAACAAGCATCTGATTTGTGCATGCAATCTGACCCTTAATCTCTTCTTGTGTTATCTGTCCTCACGAGCATTTAAAACACCCACAAATTTAATCCTCAAACAAAAAACTTGATTAAACACATAAGGTTGCTTACAGGGAATAGCCACTGAACCAAACCCTTAAAAGCAAGGTGATATCCAGTTAAATTATCCTTCTTTAACAAACCGTTAACCCCTATCATCTCATCACCACTTCACTGACAGACTCTGCTCCTCTGCAAACGTTACATACACTCCAAACGTACAAAACCACAGTATCCACCCCCCCGCCACACTACATTCCTTATAATTGCATTAAGACCAAAATCCTTAACTCTGATGTTAGTATGTGTGTTAGACATTCACCCGTTGCTGAAGTGCAAGATTTATTTATTGTCCCATGAGGAAGTAACGGATTAGGGTTAAGGTTCTGTGTTATACTATATCCTATGGACAAACAATTCCAATTTTATTTATGTCGTCAGATCTTGTTTTATTGCTCCAGTGCCACCTTATACATACTTTACCATTGTGAACCTTGCTTTGTCTAAGTACTGTACAATTATGCTGTGAAAGATGGGCTCAGAAAGTTGATAAACTGACTTACAGTGTATATATACACACCTTGTAATTAGAAATTGGAATGTTCTTCAAAATAATAAGCTAATGACGTCAGGAAAGCACAAGAAATTCCTTAGTCAATCCAGATGTAAACCACCTCCTTTCTGGGTTCCAAACCTGCTTAAGCTTGTTTAGAAGTCATTTCCCCCACTCATTTATAAATAACCCAGAGCAGAAGCTTGTTTCCTGAATCTGGTTATAACTTCACTTACCTATTGTTTTCCCCAGAGAAGACAGACATTCCACAGAAAACCTACAAAGACAACAATATCCATCAGCATCACCATCACAATTCCCTTTTATTAACTCGCTCTTGTTTGGAATAATGACTGCACCGCTAAACCTGCATCCTCTCTCCCTCTCCTGTGCCTTCACTCCCCTCCTGATGGACAAACCTCAAAGTAATAGGCAATTCAAGCATCACCTCTAGCAGTCATGATGTCCGAGTTTTCTTCACTTATTTCCTCCCACCTTGCTTTGCAGGATGACCCCACAGTCCTCTAGGAAGAAAGACGAAAGAGGCTCTACACCTCCAGATGCTCCATAACACTATGATCTGCCAGTATGGGTCACTACTAGTGCAATACATTTCTTATTGCTCCACAAGAGCCAAGCACCTACATAGAAACAGAGGAAGATCCTGGACGACTGGAAAAAGGCTAATGTAGTCCCCATCTTTAAAAAGGGAAGGAGGAGGATCCTGGGAACTACAGGCCAGTCAGCCTCACCTCAGTTCCTGGAAAAATCATGGAGCAGGTCCTCAAGGAATCAATTCTGAAGCACTTAGAGGAGAGGAAAGTGATCAGGAACAGTCAGCATGGATTCACCAAGGGCAAGTCATGCCTGACTAATCTAATTGCCTTCTATGACGAGATAAATGGCTCTGTGGATGAGGGGAAAGCAGTGGACGTGTTGTTCCTTGACTTTAGCAAAGCTTTTGACATGGTCTCCCACAGTATTCTTGCCAGTAAGTTAAAGAAGTATGGGCTGGATGAATGGACGATAAGGTGGATAGAAAGCTGGCTAGATTGTCGGGCTCAACGGGTAGTGATCAATAGCTCCATGTCTAGTTGGCAGCCGGTATCAAGTGGAGTGCCCCAAGGGTCGGTCCTGGGGCCGGTTTTATTCAATATCTTCATTAATGATCTGGAGGATGGTGTGGATTGCACCCTCAGCAAGTTTGCAGGTGACACTAAACTGGGAGGAGAGGTAGGTACGTTGGAGGGTAGGGATAGGATACAGAGGGACCTAGACAAATTAGAGGATTGGGCCAAAAGAAATCTGATGAGGTTCAACAAGGACAAGTGCAGAGTCCTGCACTGAGGACGGAAGAATCCCATGCACCGCTGCAGACTAGGGACCGAATGGCTAGGCAGCAGTTCTGCAGAAAAGGACCTAGGGTTGACAGTGGACGAGAAGCTGGATATGAGTCAACAGTGTGCCCTTGTTGCCAAGAAGGCCAATGGCATTTTGGGATGTATAAGTAGGGGCATTGCCAGCAGATTGAGGGACGTAATTGTTCCCCTCTATTCCACATTTGTGAGGCCTCATCTGGAGTACTGTGTCCAGTTTTGGGCCCCACACTACAAGAAGGATGTGGAAAAATTGGAAAGCGTCCAGCGGAGGGCAACAAAAATGATAGGGGACTGGAACACATGACTTATGAGGAGAGGCTGAGGGAACTGGGATTGTTTAGTCTGCGGAAGAGAAGAATGAGGGGGGATTTGATAGCTGCTTTCAACTACCTGAAAGGGGGTTCCAAAGAGGATGGATCTAGACTGTTCTCAGTGATAGCAGATGACAGAACGAGGACTTATGGTCTCAAGTTGCAGTGGGGGGAGGTTTAGGTTGGATATTAGGAAAAACTTTTTCACTAGGAGGGTGGTGAAACATTGGAATGCGTTACCTAGGGAGGTGGTAGAATCTCCTTCCTCAGAGGTTTTTAAGGTCAGGCTTGACAAAGCCCTGGCTGGGATGATTTAGTTGGGGATTGGTCCTGCTTTGAGCAGGGGGTTGGACTAGATGACCTTCTGAGGTCCCTTCCAACTCTGATATTCTATGATTCTATGAAGATCCTCCTACAACTAGCTTTTGTACATTGCATGTCAGCAGCATCCAATGTCCCAAACTGGTAGGAATAGTCAAGATGGCAACAAGCAAGCAATCTCTATCAACAGCAAAATTAACAATTTTGAGATGTTGGGTTTTAGCAGTGAAGAAAATCTAGATCCTAACATATCAGCCTTCCATCAGTGGAAGTACACATTACCACACATAATGAAGTTAATTATTAACAGTAATAAATTCAGGAACAGAATCCTGTCAGAGAGAGCCTGTAGAAGCTGCCAACATTGTGATGATTAAAACAATGGATGATGAACTAGGTGTGGTGGTGCTGTGGGAAAAAAAGGAGATGGGTTTGGCTGCTGTATTACTAGTGACAACCAAATTAGTCACTGTCCCTAAGCACTTTTTCTTTGGCTCAACACTGCTTGAACAGTAGCATTCTGTCTGTGCTGGTTTCTATGGAAATTCCCCACATTTGGTCCCTATTTTCATCTCCTTGTTTCCTTCTCTTTAGTTCCAGACAGTTTTGCATGCTCTGTTTTCTTATTACGCCTGTGAGGGGGAGTAAAAATGGTTACTCACTTCTCGTAACTGTTGTTCTTAGACATATGTTGTTGACATCCATTCCAATCAGGTGTGTGCGTGCGCACGTGCACGTTGGCCGGAAGATTTTTCCTTTAGCAGCATCCCGGCCCATCCTGGGTGCCCCCTGGAGTCACGCCTTCATGACACTCAATACAGAGCCCTGCCGACCTGCCACCCCTTCAGTTCCTTCTTGCCAGCTACTCCGAGAGAGGGGTAGGAGGGAGGGTATTAGAATGGACACAAAGAACACATCTTGAACACCAAAGTTACAAGGAGTGAGTGCTTGTTCATGTCCATTCCAATCAGGTGACTCCCAAGCCAAGTTCAGGAGGTGGGGTTGGAGCTGTCCAGTGATTGGAGTACTGCTCTTCCGAAGGCCACATAGTCTTTGGCCTGCTGGGTAATCGCATAATGCACGACGAAAGGGCGTATGGAGGACCCCATTGCTGTTCTGCAGATTTTCTGGGTGGGAACCTGAGCCAGGAATGCTGTAGATGAAGCCTGTGCCTTGGTAGAGTGCGCAGTGATCGGAGGTGCGGGAACATCTGCCAGGCTGTAGCACTCATGGATACAGGACACAATCCATGATGAGATGCATTGGGATGAACTGGCTGACCTTTCATCCTGTCCGCCACTGCTATGAACAACTGGACTGACTTTCTAAATGGTTTCGTCCTCTCGACGTAAAAGGCCGGTGCCCTGCGGACATCCAGAGGGTGGACTCTCTGCTCCCTGCCGCTGCAATGAGGTTTAGGGTAGAAAACGAGGTGGAAGATGTCCTAGTTGATGTGGAACTGCGAGACAACCTTTGGGAGGAAAGCAGGGTGAGGCCTGAGCTGAACCTTGTCCTTACACCCTCCTGGCCGAGGTTATTGCTACCAGGAACGCAACCTTTTAACAGAGGTAGAGCACAGAGCAGGTTGCTAAAGGCTCAAAAGGGGGCCCCCATGAGCCTAGAAAGGACCAAGTTGAGGTCCCAGGCAGGAACCAGTTGACAGACGTGAGGGTATAACCTGTCGAGCCCTTTAGGAATCAGCTGACCATGGGATTAGCAAATAGCGAGCAGCCCTGCACACCCGGGTGGAAGGCCGAGATGGCTGCTAAGTGCACCCGTATAGAAGACATCGAGAAACCCTCCTGCTTCAGATGGAGGAGGTAGTCCAGAATGTGCAGCACTGGAGCCAGCATTGAGGGCGAATGGGGCTGCACCAACCAGATTGAAAATCTCGTCCACTTGGCAAGGTAAGTGGCTCTCATAGAGGGTTTCCTACTGCCAAGGAGGACCTGTCTAACCTGGTCTGAACAAGAAAGCTCCAACAGATTTAACCATGGAGCTTCCACGCCATAAGATGGAGTGACTGGAGGTTTGGGTGTTGGAGACATCCATGATCTTGTGTGAGAAGGTCCGGGGAAAGCAGCAAGGTAATCGGGGCTCCCACGGACATGTCTATTGGGGATGTATACCAGTGCTGATGGGGCCACGCCAGTGCTATCAGTAGGACATGAGCTCGATCATTGCGGATGTCGAGCAGCACCTTGTGAACGAGCGGGGGTATGGGCGGAAAGGCGTACAGGAGAGAATCTCCCCAATGGAGGAGGAACGCATACACGCTGGAGCCCATGCTGTGATTCTGGAAGGAGCAGAACTGCTGGCACTTCCTGTTGCGTCGCGTGGCAAAGAGGTCTAATGGGGAAACCCCACCTCTGGAAGATTGAGATTGCAACATTTGGGCCAAGGGACCACTTGTGGCTGTGGAAGGACCTGCTGAGGTGGTCCACCAGCTCGTTCTGAACCCCAGGGAGGTACGACGCCTGCAGGGGAATTGAATGTTCTACACAGAACTCCCACAGCATGAGGGCTTCTTGGCACAGTGGAGAGGAGCGTGCACCCCCATTTGTTGATATAGAACATTGCTGTCATATTGCCTGTCATGACTGATACACATTGCCTGGTTAGGTAAGGACAGAATGTCTGACATGCTACGTGCACCGCTCTCAGTTCTCTGACATTGATGTTGACACGCAGATCTGCTTGTGACCAGAGGCTTTGAGTTCTGCAGTCTCCCAGATGAGCTCCCCAGCCCAGGTCTGATGAGTCCATCACCAGAGACAGCTGTGGGGCAGCGAAGAGGACCCTTGAGTACACCTCCTGAGCGTCGAGCCATCACAGGAAGGAGTCGAGGACCGGGCGAGGCAGGGTCACAATCTTGTCCAAGCTGTCCCGGGCTGGGCAATACACTGACGAGAGCCATGACTAGAGAGGTTGAAGCCTGAGTCCGGCATGCTGCACCACATAGGCACAGGCTGCCATGTGCCTGAGAAGTTTCAGGCAGTTTCTCGCTGTAGCGATGGGGAACTGCATGATGCCTCAGATTATGTCGCTGAAGGCCTGAAACCTCGCCTGTGGCAGGTATGCCCTGACTTGGGTCGAGTCCAATACTCCCCCTTATCAACTCTAGCCTCTGGACAGGAGACAGAGTCGATTTCGTTTCGTTTAGGAGTAGACCCAGTGATCGGAGTCTCTCAAAGCTGACTCTGATAAATGTGACCTGAGACTCCACTTGGGTCCTGGAGCGGCCTTTGATCAGCCAGTCATCAAGG